AAAGGCCTATCCACGTTTTAAGGCACAATCTTAAACGGTTTAAATTGGATTCGTTCCATCAAAGTACCATGGATGCCACCGAACCGCCGACTCGCTGCTGTTTCTTTCTTGTTATCTGCCCCTCTTCTGCACTGGATCCCAAAAACCGCGCATTACTGATGTTAAAGGTGTATTCACGTAAACTGCAATACTCCGGGCTCCCTCTGCCGTGATCCCCTCTCTCTGCTGTCACTCCTCGAAAACTTTTATATCCAGGCTTAACCAAAGAACGATCATTTGCGAGGGAGACTTCAAACACAGTGTAGCGTCGGCTGACCCAAACCCCGGAATAACTGGTGGCAACTCAACCCCTCCGCCCCTTGATGATGAGGTCTCTAACTGGTTGTGTGAGTTGGGCATCAGAAGATGGGAAATGAGAGGCTACACAGAAAAATGTAGGGTCATAACCCGTAACGACGCCGAAAAGACTTAGCAATTAATGCCTCATGGGAAAGGGAGCAATGAGCGTGGCTGATCGTGCACGTGTCACAACCGGGGTCACGATATTGCGCGCGTGAAGAACACAGGACCCTCAGGGAAGCCCTTAGAATGGGGGAGTCGACACATAGCCGTTCACAGTGTGGGTCGGGTTTCCTAAATGCAGCAGGCTGACCCAGAGATGAGAAGTGGTCTCCAGCGCCGCAAGGATAGACTGCGACCGCGTTCCCACTTGCTATCTTGAGTGAAGATCTGAGAAACGGCCACGGGGTTGAAACCGCCAGGGCGGATTGCTGCCTGGCCGGTGTAATCGCGCAGGACGAGATTGCTGCATTGCCTCAATACTCCAATCAGTACGTGATATACGATAAATGTAATAGTTCGCTTTACTGTCTTTCCTGGTTGATCGCTACCTCACCTTGTACGTGGCGCAGTGACACGGTCTTATCGTATCCCATCAGAATGCCTAACCCTACGGTTTTCTTCGACATCACCATTGGTGGTTCACCAGTTGGCCGTGTGACCTTCGAGCTAGCCGCGGATGTTGTCCCTATCACAGCTGAGAACTTTCGCTGCCTCTGTACTGGCGAGAAGGGAGTCGGCAAGTCCGGGAAGCCTCTTCACTTCAAAGGCAGCAGCTTCCATCGTATCATTCCGAAGTTCATGTGTCAAGGAGGCGACTTCACCAACGGTAAGGGTACCCGCATCCTGGAAGTTCTCTGACCATCTTCCAGTTCCTCCAGAATCTTTTCCGCAGGTAACGGGACTGGCGGTGAGTCCATCTATGGTGTAAAGTTCAAGGACGAGAACTTCCAGTTGAAGCACACCGGTCCTGGTATCTTGTCTATGGCCAACTCTGGACCTAATACCAACGGCAGCCAGTTCTTTATCTGCACTGAAAAGACATCCTGGCTCGACGGTAAACACGTGGTTTTTGGGAAGGTAAGTCATCCTCCCTTCGAGTGTCCTATGATGTGTCATTGTTATCAAGGTTACCGATGGTATGGACGTAGTGAGAAAAATGGAAAGTGTTGGATCTTCCAGTGGAGCGACTGCTAAGATAGTTGTGATTGCGGATTGTGGACAGCTTTCATGATTCATGCAGCGTCATCCCATCTGCTATTGATTTTCTAGTTTTGCCATCATGATCGATTTGCGTTTCCTGATCAGCTGGCCAATTCGGAATCGTAGATGAGACGCGGAGATACTTCGTGGTTTCTATGTATCAGTGATGAACTTTCAATCCAAATATATCAAAGCAATCACTCCCAATGTTGAGCGAGAAGTTACGTGTCCGTCTCCCGAGTTTGTACGTATATGAAATGGATTCTCCAACACACCTAAGGAGAGGATGCATTTCTCTATCATTGGAGTATGTTCCCAACTTCGGCGTAACATTGGTGGTGATACTTAGGTGCAAACGAGTGCTCCAAGTAAACCTTATGCCAATACATATTAATACAATTGTCTAATGACATGCCATAAACCTTCTCATTGAGGCGTTTGAACGAAAAAAGAGGAATCTTAGGAGTGTATGTGTGTGAGTGTGAAATCCAACGCCGACAACACGACTTAGCGGAACTCGCATCGATGCACATTAGCTCACGAAGGTTCACTTTTCATCTTTTAAAATCTTAGGAATGGGGCACTACATTCAACTCTCTCCCTACAGGGTTTCCAACCATCAGAATATATCGTGATATTCCGCCCACAAACTCATCCATTTTCAGAAGATGTCATGATGTTTTCCCATTTCACACTAAATTGAACACGACTACGACAGCTCGAGAAAAAACGAAAAGTATGAGAGATCACACCGATCGACTATCCAGCAATATCGATGAATAGTGTGCTTAGAGCTCCTGAGGAAGGAAAGCTCTCTCCCCGCTTCACAGTCGTTGAAGATCCTACCATATCTTCTTCGGGCTCTGGCTCAGCATCCTTACCATCCCAAGCAGTGACGCTGTGAAGCTTAGGGAGATTCTTGGGCAGCGGGTCAAGGGTGACCTGCTGTTGCTATTGCTACATATAGGATCATTACGTGGCTTACCTTGCCAGCCATAAGGCCCGAGACAAAGGCCCTGATATTAGCCTCATCGAAGCCCCCACGATGGACTCCATAGTGACCCTTTGATAGATGGACTGCCACCAAGGCCGGGTAACTGAAGGGATATTCCCAACGATGTTGCACTAAGGCAAGGTATTACCCAAACTGTAATCGAAGAGCTTCCTCAAAGTCAAATTGATCTCCTCCTTGTGACCAGTAGTAGTGGACAGGGATACCAGGGTTAGCTACAATGGAATGGCAACCTTGGGATATACTGAGATTACTACCTTTAACGGCCGCGTTATACTCCTTAATATAGGCATTCCTCTGCTCAGCCCCTGAATCCAGAATATGAGGTAGGAATGCGATAACGCAGACGCGATCTGATCGAGACGATTGGAGACACTAAACGCGATGGAGCTACCAAGTACTCTTGCAGGTGTCCTCAAAATCGTCCTGGCTGAGGAGTTGAGTAGCCTCTATAGCATAACTAAGGTACCTACTCCAGAGCAGTTGATCATGACACGAGGAATGACAGATGATTTACTTCTCTGCAAACTGAACAAGACTGCTGGTCTCTCGTTGCTCTTGATAGTCTACGGCGAGGCTATCCGACTTCTTCCCTGCCGGGAATAATTTAATCTGAGTAGTTCCACGAGTAGAGAATAATAGTAAATGACCAACTCACAGTAGGGAACCCTTGCACGCCGAACCGTTGAGCCAAGGACTTCTCCTCAGTAGCATCAACCTAAGGTCAACCCACAGTGACCTGCATGATATGGTAGAGCCTTCACCTTCCCAAACTTGACTCGTCCCTTCATCTGAGTAGCCGCTGCCGTCCAATGAGGGGCCAGTGCCTTGCAATGACCGCACCAAGGGGCGTAGAACTCTAATACAAGTGATATAAAAATAAAGGCACTTCACGATAACTCACCGACGAACCATACCGACTTGGTGTCTTGCATAACCAACTTATCAAAGTTGCTACCAGTAAGGACCTAGCAGTAGTTCCCCCATCAACTGCCCCATCATTCGAGGCCTACGATAACGTCATCCTCATTCCCCTCAGGCTGAGTATCGGCCTTCTTCGATTTACGACCAGCCTCCTTCTTGGCCTTCTTCGGCTTGGTCTTACCGGCTAAGCGATCGTTGGCGACCTTCTTGGCCTACATGATACCATATCACAGGATTAGGGTGCGAGTCGTCACATGGGATAGAGCGTATTTGACCAATCCTTTGGCCTCTCTCGGACCACTGTAGTCGAGAGGCTTGGACTTGTCTTCTCCGAAAAACTTAACGGTGGGGAAGCCTAGGAGGAGTAACCAGGGATCGAACCCGCGTCTAGCAAAGCCTCTGGACTACCCTGAACACCATAGGGGCCCATCACCGACTGGTCGTTCACAGCTGCAAAGTTGACAATCCCAGCAAGAGCACTGGCGGCCTGAAATGACGGAATACCCTCAGTCGGGATAGAACCCGGGATCTTTCGATTACCTTCTCATACTCTGGTGCGAATTGTTGACAGTGACCACACCAATCAGCGTAAAACTCCACAACCCACAACTCGTTACCTGCAAACGTCGCCTATTGAGAACCTCTACTCTCCCTTACTACTCTGAACGACAGTCTTAGTAAATGTATTGGCATCTAACACTTGAACGAAGGAGTCCTTCTTCCCGTAAAGGTCGCCGGCCAACGTACGACCGCTCAGCACACAGAAGATGGAAAGGAAAAACAGCGGTATCATTACCATACCACACCAGGGTGAACTACAGCAACATTGACTGCTGATTCTGAACGGTACTCAGAGCACTGTGTTGCAGAAAATGTAAGAGAATGGTGCCTGCCGGTAGCGGTTGGTATTAGGTCAGCCTTCTTCTCCTTCCCTCCTTCGTTGCTCTTGAACTGATGGCCACTGCAATCACTTCATTTCCTTTCCCTTGTATCTAAAGGCTTCAATTCGAGCAAGGAGTGGTATTGACTACTACGATTTCTTCCCGTGGGACCAAGGTACATATCTGTGTTTTATCATATGCTAAAAGAAGAGTATAAGAGCGTGGTGACACGGTCGTTGGTCGTACCTTTATCTGTTGCTTCATAGTCAGAGTGAATAGCATTATGAAGTACACCAATAGGATAGGCCAGAATACAGGTAGATCGAAGAAGGGGAAGAACTGAAGTAACATTGACGGTTATTGACGAAGAGGGGGCAACGAACGATAAAGACTACCGTCATCACGATGGAGATTAACGTCGCTTGCATTGCTCTCTTCCAGAATAGGAACTCTGGTAACCGACGCTGGAACGGCCTGAATTCGTCCGAGTCTCTGAGGAAAAATACCACGACTTGTTTTGAATCTTGTATGGTCGACCTAAAGATTCTCATTACCGCGTTGGAAGGACTGGAGAGTTGCTATCCTCGTCCACTTGAGGGGATATAAAGCCTATAAACAGATTTAATAGGTAGATGGACCATCCATAGGTGATGATGTAAAAACCTGATAATCTTGCTCAACCATAGTGATGAGCATAATAACTACTACTACCCTGAAGGAAATACACCCTGATACCATATAAAGCACATGCGATGAAGAAGGACAACCAACGACTCTTGGTCCAGATAGTAGTCTTCTCTAGGTAGTAGGTGTACCTTCAGGGAATTATCACATTATAACTAAGACTAGTCTATTACATTCGAGAGAGGCCTCTAGCGAGCCTGACAAGGTAGGACGGCTGTACTATCTGACTTGCATCCCCTCCTTGTTTACTGCTTGTTGATGACGATGACGACATAATACCATCTAGGGCAGTGGGCTCCATCATTATGCGAAAATAATTACACGAAAAGGAGACGAACTAGTTATAGTACACCTGACAAGATACAGAGTAGATCACGTGCGCGCATCTACTTAATCCATCCAATCTTCAGAGAATGAACAAATATCAAATGACTAGTCGCACGTGAGAAAAAAAGTCTCGCGCGCCACGAAATTGGACGGCACAGGTATTCTCTTTTTAGTAATGCCGGACGAAGTAGTACGAGTATTGGTAGCCTCCACCAATCCAGTTAAGCTCGAGGCAGCTAGGATTGGTCTGCAGCCCTATGTGAATGGGAGGTAGTGCTAGAGGTCATCTCTACCCGTCACCGTATTGCACAGGTTGGTGGTCTCGGGTATGACAACACCTAGTGGGGTATCAGATCAACCATATGGTGATGAGGAGACTCTGCGGTAGAAGTGTAGAAGGAGTGGTATTGGAAGGCGTCGTGGTAGTGGTGCGAGGAATCGTTTGGCTGCGTTGTGTCGTGGAACCGAGAAGGCTGATGTCTATGTTGCGTTCGAAGGAGGTGTGTTCAAGACTGAGGATGGACGACTGTAGGGCGATATCTGTCTGGTGCTGACTGTAGGCCTCTTTACCATCAGACACGTAGCTGCCTGGGTATGTGTGACAATGCATGGTCATGACTACGTATCGGAAGCAAGGACTGCCACTTTCCAGGTCATAGGCAAGCTATCGCTTAGTAGAGTAGTGATAGAGTAGGTCCCACCACCAGTCCAACGGTTAATGGAAGAGGAAGGGCTCGAGTTGGGCCATGCTGATGATAAGGTATTCGGCCGGTAGGTATATAGTAGTCGCCATATGAAGGGCTACTTCCTATACAGTGTCGACTCGGGCCGATCAGAAGGGACTGTGGGTATCCTTACCAGTGGACGCCTGTGCCGAGATCGTTATTATGCTCATGCTTTGGAGCTGGCGATGATACCTTTCGTCAACTCTCATTTGTAGGACCCACAGTGGGAGTGCCTGTGGTGGGTGATGGTACTGTCTTAGATGGAAGCTGTCAGCGTCGTCTAAGATCATACCTAATAATCATGCCTTGTGATTTTCTTTTGGAGAAGCGGAATGGTGATTCTGGTTGTAGTGTTATTGAAGGCAGAGGGGATATTAATGGCATCGTGCGGGGTTCGAACCTGCGACCTCCCCTTTCTCTCCAGTTCTGCACGATGTCAGCTGTTCATAAGGGGAAGAAGGCAGTTCAGGCCAACGGGCAGCTCAGGTATTCTGCCAAGCATATGGTTACCGGTGCTCTAGTCGATGCAGTAAGCAACTCCTCAGCGATTTTGGTTGTCAATAATAATTGATCTCAGTGTGTTGATGCACGATGGGATTTTTCAATTGCCACTGTGTTGGCCAAGTTGGTATCTGCTCGAGAGAAAGATGACCCGGAGTCTCTTAAACTGACGTCTATTTATATGGCCATGCTACTGCTCGTACCTCAGCAGAATCGGAGTGTCTTTAGTTGTAAGGCAGTGCAGGATGAATTGGCGAAGGAGTGGTATCATAGTAACACGCGAGAATGTATCAGGGCTTCAGCGAATAAGCTTATCAATGTTTGGAAGGTCGACACAGTGGTGGGAAAGGGAACTGATGTACTCTACGGTTTGCTGATCGATGGTGAGTGATGGTCATGGTCTCAGGAAGGTGGACACTGTATTAAGCCTGCGAGATTGGTTATCACAGTGCCTGACTTGGTCTGGTTGGCTGATGCGATTGAACAGTATCTTTACGATGAGTATGGTGCTGATACCGGTGATTATAGATTGAACTTGAAGAAGATTGTGGATCCATTGAAGCATCTTGTAGAACAAGATCATGGCTCTACCATTACGCGGGAAAAGGTCAGTTGGAATGAGGCTGATGGAGACTTTAATTATCATCAGATTATCAACATTGCTAGCGATCGTGATGAAACCAAAGCCCGTGAGTTTTTACAACAAGTTGGGAACAGTATAGACACTCGTAAGCGGGAAAGAGAGCATGAGGAATCCATTCGAGAAGCTAAACAGGTAGGGAGATGCTCTTCTCACTAAGAGCCGATAGAGTCTTCGATGTCTTAGCTTCGAGCAGCATTGGATGCTCGGTATAACCACGTTGGAGGAGAGCATGACGTCTGTCCAAGCTGTGGACTTGCTGGACAGGTCCGTTACAGGTTCCTCGAGGTAGTACTAATGATAATGGTCGTGGCCATTTCAATATAGGGCTATGACCAATCGGACTGTCGTAAGACCGAAGTCTGGGGTGGCTCCACAGAGATGCATTCAACAGGGCCAAGAAAGGAGGCTAAGTAATATAACACATCATTATTGCGGGAATATGAGGAGCTTTTTAGGTGCGCCAATTGTGATAATGTTTGGACCTTTGATGACTGACTTGACCGATGTGTTGGTGTTCAAAGGGCCTCCGTGGTGATAAATCGATCAGCAGGGCGTGCGCCATAGTTTTGCGCATTAAGAGGGTCACATTTGTTTGGGATTGTCTCTTTGGCTAGACCATCTTTTCCTCAGTTGTAGTAGGTTTTGTGAATCTTCGAATATGTCGACCCACGGATATACTGGTCGCTTTATCAAAGACCATTGTGTGTATGGCCAGGCGTCCATAGTCTTGTCGGATGATATGGCGGCTTTGTCGAAGTGGGTATCTAATGCACATGATACGTTTGGTAGGAAGACCAAGCTTGTGTGCACTATGGGTCCATCATGTTGGGATGTTGATACTCTGGTGAAGATGATCGATCAGGGTATGAACGTGGCGAGGTAGTATTAGCAAGGCTTATGGTAGTGATGGAGGTTGTTCTTTTTCAGACTCAATTTTTCACATGGCGATTTTGAAGCCCATGGTGCCACCGTGCAACGTATTCGAGAAGCATTGAAGCAACGCCCTGGAAAGCATGTTGCGCTTCTACTCGATACCAAGGGTCCTGAAATTAGAACTGGTTTTTTCAAAGAGACAGGCGGTAAGGTTAAGCTAGAGGCCGGTCAGGAGCTTGTCCTTACTACTGACTATGATCACAAGGGGGATTCTAGCAAGATCGCCTGCAGCTATGCTAAGCTACCTCAGAGTGTCAAGCCTGGCTCTACCATTCTTATGGCTGATGGTACTGTTAGTTTGGAGGTTATCGAATGCCTTGAGGACAGCGTTAGGACTAGGGTTATGAATAGTGCTACAATTGGTGAACGCAAGAATATGAACTTGCCAGGAGTTAAGGTTGACCTGCCTTGTATCAGCGAAAAAGATAAGAATGATATTTTGAATTTTGGTATACCACAAGGAGTGAATTTCATTGCAGCATCCTTCGTTCAGGATGGTGATGATGTAATAATAGCTCGGGTAATTCTTTACTGTTTATCGTTGGTCTTCGTAGGTTAGAGGTCTACGTAAACTGCTAGGGCCTAGAGGTCGTCATATCAAGATCATCTCTAAAATCGAGAATGAGTCTGGTATGAAGCACTTTGATGACATCCTGGCGGCCTCGGATGGTATCATGATCGCTCGTGGTGATCTTGGTATGGAGATCCCACCTGAGAAGGTCTTCCTCGCTCAGAAGATGATGATTGGACGATGCAATATCCTGGGCAAGCCCGTCATCACCGCCACTCAGATGCTCGAGTCCATGGTCACTAACCCCAGGCCTACTCGTGCTGAGGCTAGTGATGTCGCCAATGCTGTCTTGGATGGTACTGATGCTGTGATGCTATCTGGAGAGTCGGCAGGAGGGGCATTCCCTGTTCAAGCTGTGACTATTATGAGGAGGATATGCGAGGAGGCAGAGACCTGTATAGACTATGATACCCTGTTCCAGAGGATTCGCGAGACTGTTATGAACCAGAATCAAGGGGTAGGTATCGTCACCACCAGTTGGTCTGAGGTGTCACTATTCAGGGCCTGGCTATACCAGAAGCGGTTTGTTCATCTGCAGTAAAGGCTTGCATCGAATGCAACGCCAAGCTTATCGTGGCACTCACTGAAACAGTAATCATGATGGGCAGGGTGGTGGTCATGGTCGTGCTTCGTTGTTCAGGGATCTACGGCTAAACTTCTGGCGAAATACCGTCCATCTCCGCCGATACTGGCCTTGTCAGCATCAGAGTCTACGATCAAGCATCTACAGCTGTATAGAGGGATAGTAGCCTTACAGGTGCCCTCCTTCCAGGGCACAGATCATGTGATAAGGAATGCCCTTGAGCACGCCAAACAGATGGGTTTATGCTCGATTGGGGACAAGATAGTTGCAGTACATGGTGTTAAAGAGGAGGTCAGTGGATCTAGTAATCTGATGAAAGTCCTCGAGGTGGATTAATTTACTACTCACTGTCATCGTTATAGCTAGTGTGCCCTTTTTTGTGTGATAAAAACAGCAAGTGAGTTCATGACGTACGGTCGTTACAACTTGTCCTGCTGTTGTTGTTCGTGATAACTTATTCATCTATTGTCATATGATGGTCCAACTTCAATGCAAGCTTTAATGATTTAATCATCAATAAGAGTTGCGTTGTTGGTGTAGCTATCACGTCGATTCCCTCATGGATAGAAAGCTGCTGATGCAACCATCCTATCCCAGTCCATGGGCTCTTGCTTAGGCTCATGTTGCATCTTGTGTGTTTTGTCGTCACTTTGAAGGACTCATATCCACATAGTGACTTATCCATATTATGTTTTAGATTGAGTTTCAATCATTTGATACGACTTCTGACAATGGACGGTGCTGCTGTTGTTGTTGCTCCTTCCCTACTGCTACTACTCCTGTAGCTGACCACGGTTTCACTGGGCGTTATATACGAGGGAAGCAAGTGTTTGGTCAAGCACATGTTGCCTTGGGTGAGGACTTGGCTGAATTGTCGGCTTGGACTGAGAGTTGCTACTCTCCAGACCATCTTACTCGCAAGACCAAGCTTGTATGCACTATGGGTCCATCATGTTGGGATGTTGATACGTTGGTGAAGATGATCGATCAGGGTATGAACGTGGCGAGGTTCAACTTCTCTCATGGTGATTTCGAGATTCATAGTAGAACTCTGAGGAATCTGAAGGATGCACTCAGGGAGCGGCCAAACGACGATGTATCCATCATGCTCGATACCAAGGGACCCGAGATCCGTTCGGGTTTCTTTGCTGCTGGTGGTAAGGTCGAGCTCGAGGCCGGTCAGGACTTGATCCTCACTACTGATTACTCCTTCAAGGGCGATGCTCACAAGATTGCCTGCACCTACCCCAAGCTCCCTCAGAGCGTCAAGCCCGGCTCCATCATCCTTATGGCCGATGGTACGGTTAACCTGGAGGTTGTTGAATGCTACGAGGACAGCGTTAAGACTCGTGTCTTGAACCACGCTATCATCGGTGAGCGTAAGAACATGAACCTCCCCGGTGTCAGGGTTGACCTTCCCTGCATTGGTGAGAAGGAGGCCAACGATATCCTCAACTGGGGACTTCCCAACGGAATCGATTTCATTGCCGTCTCCTTCGTCCAGCATGGCGATGATATTCGTGAACTGCGGAAGATGTTGGGAAGTCGTGGTCGGAACGTTCAGATCATCTCCAAGATCGAGAGCACTGAGGGTCTCAGGAACTTCGATGATATCCTCGAGGCTTCCGATGCCATTATGATCGCTCGTGGTGATCTTGGTATGGAGATGCCCCCTGAGAAGGTCTTCCTCGCTCAGAAGATGATGACTGCTCGCTGCAACCTCGCTGGCAAGCCCGTCATCACCGCCACTCAGATGCTCGAGTCCATGATCGAGAACCCCAGGCCTACTCGTGCTGAGGTCAGTGATGTTGCCAACGCTGTTCTCGATGGTACCGATGGTGTCATGCTCTCTGGGGAGACTGCTGGTGGGAAGTTCCCAGTCCGTTCCGTCCACTTCCAGCGCTCTATCTGTGAGGCCGCTGAGCATTCACTCGATTATGATGCCCTTTATTGTCGTATTCGACAAGCTGTTATGAGTACCCACTCTGAGGGTCTCTGCAATCCTGAGGCGGTGTGCACCTCAGCTGTGAAAGCTGCTATAGAATGTGATGCATCCCTCATAGTCGCTCTTACTGAGACCGGTACTACTGCTCGCCTTCTGGCCAAGTACAGGCCTTCTCAACAGATATTGGCCCTTTCTGAATTCGAGTCAACAGTGAAGCACCTTGCTCTTTGTAGAGGCGTTATACCTCTACAAGTACCCTCATTCCAAGGATCTGATCATATACTACGCAATGCACTTGCACACGCTAAGTGTATGGGAATGTGTAGAGTTGGCGATAAAGTCGTTGCCGTCCATGGCAGGCGAGATTCTGGTCCTGATGCTTGCAAGAAAGTGAAGATTCTCGTCGTGGAGTGAGATTATCAACGACTCCTGTTGTAAATATTGTCTACTTGGCTGCTGCCCTTTGAATAGTCGTTGGTGGGTGATACTTCCATCATCCCACGTCGTCAGTATCAGTGCTGTTGACCGTGATGAGAGTGACCGGATTCTCAATTCTTTTTCTAATTTTCCCCCTTCCCTTATGGAGTATACATTATTGGTAAACTTAGTTTGAGTGCGTTCATTCACTAAGCGCTGTTCGCGCGTCAGTTCTGATATGTCTTGCACTATCTACCTGATCTTCAGCCTTAGAAACTTCTTTGCTATTGGTGATGCCAAGAAATGCTGAAGCCATTTCGCTGATGTGAATGTCATTTGAGTTCAGAGTAGTCATGACGGTGAGTGTCCGATATGTCTGATCTTGGATAGGAATAACACAGGCTTTGGCCAGTGTATCAAAGTGAGAAGGGTTCAGTGCAAGACGTGAGGAATTGGATTTGCACGCATGAGCAAAAAGTCACTGTCAAGTTCCATGTAAATCTAATTGTTCAGTGGTGGTTGGGGACAGTCACCGCTTCTGACCACTACAAAAGCTAACATTATTGTCCTTGGAATGCTATATAACAGTGGTGGATATCAGCTCCTGGCTCGAAGGTCAGAGCTATGACGCACGGTTTGTGACAAGTGACACGCCAAGGTTTGGTGAATCCGTAGTTGGTCCATGGTCAGGTGACAGTTATGTGATGACAACACATCGAGTATCACAGGATTCAGACTTTCTAATGGCCCCATCAGGTATGATCTGCCTCGTGGGATGATCTCGCGCACTTGAGCGAGGTCTCTGTCGGGTACTCTCCGAGCTTTGTGTGGAGTTGTCCCCCGAACGGTCATGGCTGCTCAGCTAATCGTACTCAAACTCTTCGACAGCGGAACGTGGATTCATATACAGATCCGGAATGTCAGTGGATAATGATTGCTTAGCAGGAAGGTTTACTTAGGTCTGGTGGATGAGGATGGCTTTCTCTCAGTGAATTATATTCCTATACAACATGTCTCACGGCTTCAGCGGACGCTCTATGAAGAACCACAGTGTTCTCGGTCAGGCCGCCGTCTGTATCACCGATCAGATGGCTGACCTTGCTGCCTGGGATGGTTCCAGCTGTGACCCCCTCACTCGTAAGACCACTCTTACCTGCACTATGGGTCCCTCTGATTGGGATGTCGAGACTTTGGTCAAGATGATTAACCAGGGACTCAACATCGCTAGGTTCAACTTCTCCCACGGTGACTTTGAGAGCCACAGTAAGTGCCTTGCCAACCTTAAGGAGGCTCTCAAGCAGTGCCCCGGCAAGCACGTTGCTGTCATGCTCGATACCAAGGGACCTGAGATCCGTTCGGGTTTCTTTGCTGCTGGTGGTAAGGTCGAGCTCGAGGCCGGTCAGGACTTGATCCTCACTACTGATTACTCCTTCAAGGGTGATGCTCACAAGATTGCCTGCACCTACCCCAAGCTCCCTCAGAGCGTCAAGCCCGGCTCCATCATCCTTATGGCCGATGGTACGGTTAACCTGGAGGTTGTTGAATGCTACGAGGACAGCGTTAAGACTCGTGTCTTGAACCACGCTATCATCGGTGAGCGTAAGAACATGAACCTCCCCGGTGTCAGGGTTGACCTTCCCTGCATTGGTGAGAAGGAGGCCAACGATATCCTCAACTGGGGACTTCCCAATGGAATCGATTTCATCTCCGCTTCATTCGTCCAGCACGGTGATGATATCCGTGGTCTCCGTAAGTTGATGGGTGAGGCCGGTAAGAACGTTCAGATCATCTCCAAGATCGAGAGCACTGAGGGTCTCAGGAATTTCGATGATATCCTCGAGGCTTCCGATGCCATTATGATCGCTCGTGGTGATCTTGGTATGGAGATGCCCCCTGAGAAGGTCTTCCTCGCTCAGAAGATGATGACTGCTCGCTGCAACCTCGCTGGCAAGCCCGTCATCACCGCCACTCAGATGCTCGAGTCCATGATCGAGAACCCCAGGCCTACTCGTGCTGAGGTCAGTGATGTTGCTGATGCTGTTCTCGATGGTACCGATGGCGTTATGCTCTCCGGTGAGGCCGCCAACGGTAAGTTCCCCGTGAACGCCATTTCGATCCAGCGCCGCATCTGCGAGAGTGCCGAGTCTGTCATCGACTACGATTCCCTTTATCTCCGCATTCGTGAGGCTGTCATGAACCAGCACCCCGAAGGTCTTCCTGTCGCCGAGTCGATCTGCTCCAACGCTGTTGCTCTCGCCTCTGAGGTCGACGCCTCTCTTATTCTCGCCCTCAGCCAGACTGGTTCTACTTCTCGTCTTTTGGGCAAGTACCGTCCTCGTCAGCAGATCTTGTGCGTCACCGATAACAAGCACGCTGTTGCCCACACCGCTGTCGCTCGTGGTATCCTCCCCTTCCAGGTTGAGTCCCTTCAGGATACCGAGACTGTCATCGCCAAGGCCCTCGAGTACGCCAAGTCTGTTGGTCTCGTGAAGGTTGGTGATAAGGTTGTTGCCGTTCACGGTATCAAGGAGAACACTGCTGGTGCCACCAACATGATGGAAGTTGTTTATGTTGAGTAAATACTGAACGTTCCTGTTCATCGTACGAGTTTTCTTTGTGTACTAATTCTCTGTCATAGTCACTGAACGTGGTGTATCTGGCGTAAGAGCCATCCAATTCATTCAAGTCGGTTAGTCCGCTGTGTTGTTCAATGATCTTCTGTTGTTGTGTTGTTCTTACCTCTTTGGAGTGGTTCCTGAGGTATAGCCCGAGATGCAGTAGTGATGTTTCTCTATAGTCTATTCCATGGGAGTAAAATCCGAACATCGGGCAGTGCCCCATTTAAGCTAAGCCGGAGCATCTATTCTGGCCCGGGGTTTAGAGAAGTTCATTCGTATCACTAAAGCAGTGAGTCCGTCAGTGTTGGCGGGATTGTCAAATCAGCAGTTCTAATAGCAGTAGCTGCCCTGTAGTTAATATCGATAGTTGCCCGGGGAGGAGGGCATATACATACTCGCGAGCACCTGACGCGTGCCCGCAAAGCTGCCCCGCGCGCTGGGCATGCGTGCAAATTCTGGTCTCTCTATGACGGCGGAACCCACCGATTTCTTTCGGCGTGCCTCTAATGACAGGTCAAGTTGGGTCGGAGCAGGAGCATGTCCACTGGAGTCAAGAAATGGCCATTAGTGATCGCAGGTCGTCTGACTGAAACTGGCCCTTGAGGTGATGGCGCAAGCCCCACTACGATTCGATTATGTGCAGGCGTGCTTGGGCCGATCTGCGCTGTCGTCGATCACAACGATTAGCGAGCATCGACTAGTCCAGCGCGTCCCGTACAGTCTACTCGTTGCCTTATAACGTAATGTCTCATTCGTATCAAGCCTTCAGTGGCCGCAAGGTGGAGGGATATGCCGTTCTGGGTCAGGCAGCTATCGCTATATCCGATGATATGTCCAAGATCTCCTCGTGGGAAAGCAGTGATGCAGACTCCCTCTACAGGAAGACCAAGCTTATATGCACTATGGGCCCATCGTGTTGGGATGTTGATACTCTGGTGAAGATGATCGATCAGGGCTTGAACATAGCCAGGTTCAACTTCTCTCATGGTGATTTCGAGACTCATGCTAACACCCTGAAAAACCTGAGAACCGCTCTGAAGCAGCGTCCGGGGAGGCAGGTCGCGGTTCTGTTGGATACCAAGGGACCCGAGATCCGTTCGGGTTTCTTTGCTGCTGGTGGTAAGGTGCAGCTCCAAGCTGGTCAGGACTTGATCCTCACTACTGATTACAATTTCAAGGGTGACGTCAATAAGATTGCGTGCAGCTACCCTAAGCTCCCTCAAAGTGTCAAGCCGGGGTCTACTATCCTTATGGCCGATGGTACTGTGAGCTTGAAGGTCCTAGAGTGCTACGAGGATGGTGTGAAGACCCGTGTCATGAATAACGCTGCGATCGGTGAACGTAAGAACATGAACCTCCCCGGTGTGAAGGTGGACCTTCCCTGCATTGGCGAGAAGGAGGCCAACGATATCCTCAACTGGGGACTTCCTAACGGAATCGATTTCATTGCCGTCTCCTTCGTCCAGCATGGTGATGATATTCGTGGTCTTCGCAAGCTGATGGGCGAACGTGGGAGGAATGTTCATCTGATCTCCAAGATCGAAAATGAAGAAGGTCTCATAAACTTTGATGACATCCTGGCGGCCTCTGATGGTATCATGATCGCTCGTGGTGATCTTGGTATGGAGATCCCACCCGAGAAGGTCTTCCTCGCTCAGAAGATGATGATGGCCCGTTGTAACCTGATCGGCAAGCCCGTCATCACTGCCACTCAGATGCTCGAGTCCATGATCACCAATCCTAGACCCACTCGTGCTGAGGCCAGTGATGTCGCCAATGCTGTCTTGGATGGTACCGATGGTGTGATGCTATCTGGAGAGTCGGCTGGTGGTAGTTTCCCTATCAATGCCATCACCATTCAGCGTCGTATCTGCGAGGAGGCTGAGGCGGTGATTGATTACGAGACCCTCTTCCTCCGCATCCGCGAGGCGGTCCTTAATGCCACCCCCCAAGGCCTCTCGGTCGTCGAATCTGTATGCTCAGCAGCAGTCGAGCTTGCTGGGGAAGTGAGAGCTTCGCTTATCATCTCTCTCACCGAAACTGGGAGCACTGCTCGTCTACTCGCCAAGTACCGCCCTGGTGTACAGATTCTGGCCCTTGCTGCCGCTGACTCTACTGTTAGGCATCTTTGTGCCGTACGTGGTGTCATCTCCCTTAAGGTCCCCTCCTTCCAAGGTACTGATCATATCATCCAGAGTGCTATCAACTATGGTAAAGAGGTGGGATTATTGAAGACTGGCGATAAGGTTGTTGCTATCCATGGCATGAAGGAAGAGACCGCTGGTGCCACAAATCTGGTCAAGGTTCTTCCTGTTGATTAGACTGTATAGACGATAGTTGTTGTTACACGATTACCTTTTGCAAGCTATAGATTCATCCGATTATAACCTATCATGTCACTAGTACGGTTCCGATACGAACAACCATTTCACGAGTACCGACTAAAGATTGATGATGTTATCAACACGGGCTTATGCCCATAGAGATTCTTAAGCATACATTCATATATTGTGTTGGAGTTCACACCTAAGGAGCTAGCATCACAGTCGAGTGATGGCGTAGCAGTGGAGGGGACAATACCGTCACAAATTAGGAGACAACCATCTCGTTTCGAGCAGTAGGTGGGATGCGATAGTTGGAGTTCGTAGTGGTGTACAAGAGTTGAGTGGTAGTTTATATTGCTTTTTGGTTTGATAGAGGATGCCAGATCATGGTTTTACAGGTCGGCGTGTAATGGGTTGCAGTGTGATTGGTGAGGCCCACATCGCTGTGCCGGATGATATGGCTGAGCTCGCTAGTTGGGGATGTGGCTTGCAGGACTCCTTTCAAAGGAAGACCAAGCTTGTATGCACTATGGGTCCATCATGTTGGGATGTTGATACGTTGGTGAAGATGATCGATCAGGGTATGAACGTGGCGAGGTTCAACTTCTCTCATGGTGATTTCGAGATTCATAGTAGAACTCTGAGGAATCTGAAGGATGCACTCAGGGAGCGGCCAAACGACGATGTATCCATCATGCTCGATACCAAGGGACCCGAGATCCGCTCGGGTTTCTTTGCTGCTGGTGGTAAGGTCGAGCTCGAGGCCGGTCAGGACTTGATCCTCACTACTGATTACTCCTTCAAGGGTGATGCTCACAAGATTGCCTGCACCTACCCCAAGCTCCCTCAGAGCGTCAAGCCCGGCTCCATCATCCTTATGGCCGATGGTACGGTTAACCTGGAGGTTGTTGAATGCTACGAGGATAGCGTTAAGACTCGTGTCTTGAACCATGCTATCATCGGTGAGCGTAAGAACATGAACCTCCCCGGTGTCAGGGTTGACCTTCCCTGCATTGGTGAGAAGGAGGCCAACGATATCCTCAACTGGGGACTTCCCAACGGAATCGATTTCATTGCCGTCTCCTTCGTCCAGCATGGCGATGATATTCGTGAACTGCGGAAGATGTTGGGAAGTCGTGGTCGGAACGTTCAGATCATCTCCAAGATCGAGAGTACTGAGGGTCTCAGGAACTTCGATGATATCCTCGAGGCTTCCGATGCCATTATGATCGCTCGTGGTGATCTTGGTATGGAGATGCCCCCTGAGAAGGTCTTCCTCGCTCAGAAGATGATGACTGCTCGCTGCAACCTCGCTGGCAAGCCCGTCATCACCGCCACTCAGATGCTCGAGTCCATGATCGAGAACCCCAGACCTACTCGTGCTGAGGTCAGTGATGTTGCCAACGCTGTTCTCGATGGTACCGATGGCGTTATGCTCTCTGGGGAAACTGCTGGTGGGAAGTTCCCCGTTGAATCTCTTACCATTCAGCGTCGTATCTGTGAAGAGGCTGAGAAGGCTATTGACTACGACGCCTTGTTCTTGAGGATTCGTACTCGGGTACTGAATCACAGCCCCTCTGGGCTCTGCACGCCTGAAGCTGTTTGCTCGGCTGCTGTTGACCTCGCGGCTGAGACAAACTGTGGTTTAATTATAGCTATAACAGAAACGGGTGCCACCGCTCGTCTATTGACGAAGTATCGTCCGGCCCAACCCGTGCTCGCCTTGTCCACATCCTTATCGACGATGAGGTCTTTGAGTATAGTCCGGGGCGTCAGAGCTCTACAGGTGCCCTCTTTCCAGGGTTCGGATAGAATCATTCATAATGCTCTTGAGCATGCTAAACAGATGGGCTTTGCTAGAGTCGGTGAGAAGGTTGTAGCTGTTCATGGTATGAGAGAGGAGACACCCGGAGCTGTCAATGTTATGAAAGTTCTTCTTGTTGAGTGATTGTTTTCATCATTATTTTACAGTAGACGCGACTGGTGTCGCCTCGTTATCGTGTTTCTAGCGAACCTGTTCTCGTGTTAATGGTCGTCTCCTATAAACGTGAGCTTCCCTCTGTAGCCTTTGTTAAAAACAATGCGTCCTATTTTCGCTCTAGCGGCATGCGCCCTATCCATTTTCCTCGTCGGCGCTGAGGATGTAGCTCCCGAGCCGGCTGTTAACCTACCGGAAAATGCTGATTTGGGTAGGTATCCTAATGCGGAATGGTTGAGTGTTGCCTAATGGGTGATTTCAGTTGTTGATAAGTTGATTGAGAAGCAGTGTGCTCGACCCACTAAGAAGGGTGATTCGATCTCGGTCCACTACACTGGTTGGACCCTGCAGGATGGCAAGAAGTTCGACTCTAGTAGAGACAGGAATCGCCCTTTCGAGATACCCCTTGGAGCCGGTAAGAATCCTTACTGTGTGTAGGCGTACATCGTCGTACCAGGCCGTGTTATCAAAGGGTGGGATGAGGGCCTAGTCGGAATGTGCCCTGGAGAGCTCTGGCGTATTACTATTCCCAGTGGCAAGGGGTAAGCACGATGTACCAATACACGAGTTAATGACCATGGTCACGTTGTAGGTACGGTAAGCATGGTGCTGGTGGTATCATCCCTGGTGGTGCTACCTTGGTATTCAACGTCGAGTTATTGGGAATAAAGGGCGTGGATCCATCAGAAGAGGAACTTTAGACACTATTAAGAGTGCTAGTTATTTCGTTTCATTCCTATTCCTGTTGATTTGTAGAGTCTGAGATGTGGCGGGTTGCTTTCATCAATCTCCTAATTGCTGATACACCTGCCCTGTGCAGAGCTATAGTACGGTGATCAGAGTGAACATGGGGGGGGGGGGTGTCTGACAGTAACACCGCTGCCGAGAGAGGTCTCTGTTTATCAACCCAACAGTGTCGTCGAGATGACTTTATGGGTTTTCACTCACTCTGGCGCTTTGGTGTTGCGAAGGGCAGGAGGGGAGTAGACATTGGGAGGATGGCGGCAACTAGAATGACCTACAATTATTGCAGGATGTGGGAGGATTAGACAATTGGATTTGTAATGCTCATGGGAATTGGGAGGGGAATGGTATGAGGTTTGTGTACATTGAATAACATTGAATTTGCGTTGAGCAAGAGCCATGAGGTCTTGGAAGAGTACTCCATTATTAGCTCTACGTTATGGCCCCAAGGTTAGCCCCAAAGTGAAACGAAGTGAGTCTTTGTACTTTGCAGGTTTCATTGCAGTCCTACGTAAAGGAGATTGTTGATCTCTGAGATCTGTGCTATCTCCATGAAGCCCATAGTCTCTGAATGATTCAGGCTTGGTTACTTTCTAATAGTAGCATATTTTTTCAACTCATTATTCGAGGGGGTTGTATCAACTCCGTTCATTTCTCTGTTTATGATCGGGCCGATTTTACTACGGTCCGTCATTGGGGCGGCTCACTTCAGTGAGTGAACGACACTCTCTATGATGCCTTTTTACGACGAGGGTTTCGTTCAGTTGGGAAGCGGTATGTGTACACTAGCAGGTTGCAGGGATATTGTTTTTGTTCTTGGAATGTCTCGTGATGAGCAGTGTTGCCAAGAGTGGATGACCAAGCTGGAGAATAAGACGATCGAACTAGGTGACCATAATAGGATTGATGACAGTAGTGGTGATAGTGTGCGTATAGTAATCTCACCTTTGCAATTCTGGCGGGAATGAAGAGAATTGGCATCATTCGCTCATCCTGAGGACACCATGATGATCATACGAGGGCAATAAGTACTGCCAACAGAGTACAAACGAACTGTCATAGTGGTCATCTCGTTCACGTCTAAAGGGTGAATTCAATTGAATACGCAACCACGGCGCTCTGTTCAGCTTCGGTATCTTCTCGAGAGGCTCTACTAAAGCGAGAGTTGGAGTCCCTCACAGTGACGTGTGCTCGAGCCGAAGCTAGGGCTACAGGTTTAGAGGAGGAGAAGAAGGATTGGCAAGTGGAAAGGCAACAACTTGAAGCTGAGTATGATTGATCTTAACTTGACGTCATCTGTATCTTTCGTTGTTGACCTATGGATACTCTTCAGAGTAGAACGAGTACGCAACGAGGAGTGTGAGGTCAGGTCGGCGCTTGAGAGGGAGAAGGCTGAGCACCAACGGACTCGGGTGGGCTGACGCACACTGGAGGCCATAGACATACTTTTAGGGTCATGAGCTATTCAGGTGCATCTGGAGCTTCGATGCGAGAGCTTACAGAAGCAGCGACAGGAAGCCTTATTAGGCGATGTAGGCTTCATAGACATACTAGGCTGCTCTAGAATGATACCGTTTTAGGGTCTTTCAGTTGGGATGCCTGCTGGTGGATCATCCCTTGCGAGGTTTCAGCTGGAATCTTGCCAGCTCAGAGTGGCTCAGTTAGAGAAGGAGCTGGAGCTACAGAAGAGTGCCCAGCAGCAGGCAAGTTGGAAATTTCGTGGCGCGCGAAAAACGCCAATGCTGACGTAGGTCCAGTCGTTATTGAATCGAATATCCGAGCTTGAAGCTGAGTTAAGATTGGCGTTCGGTGACTGCAGAGCTGCTGAGGAGAAGGCTAAGAAGACGGAAAAGGTTCAGGTGGGTTCACCTTCGTGAACACTCAGTCCCAATTGTGTATGATCATCAGAAAGACTTGGAGGCCACAAGGGACATGCTCACCGTCGCTAAGGATCAACTGTCTACGGCTAACTCTAAGCTGGCCCTCAACGTAGGTTGGGATCGGGACGGATCATAAGGATGCCTTGCATCGAGAGATGGGTCCTGCTGGGCAACTTCGGGTGTATCTGATATCTCCATGGAGTTGTCATTGGCCTCTGCCCGAGCTTTGATCGAGTGCTCGGGGCCGTATGGGAATTTTACATCACTGTATTCATTGAAGCACTCCGGTTTGGTCAGATATCATCTTACTCGACCATACAGCGTCTACGTGAGGAGTTGGCAGGGTTCATAATGGAGACTGAGATGATACACGAGGAATGTAAGCTCTCGTCCTTGTCATAACATAGCGCAAATCTTGGCACTTTCAACTTCAGTGACGGCACTCGGCGTCGTACCAACGTCCCCGAGAATTTCTGGGCGCGTGACGGGCAGCCGAGAGTTACTGTCATCTGAATGGAGTATGGTGAAGAGTTTCATCCGGCAAGCTAAATCGGATAACGCTCGACTAGAGGCAGAAACAGCGAGGTAGGTGGCGAATCTTTACTCACTCGGAAGGTTTTATTTCTCGTTGAATATTATGCAGGCTTGCTGGCGAGCAAGAATGTTCAATAGCACAGATTAAAGCCATGGAAGCTGGTGCACAGTTGAAGGAACAGCAGGGGAAGACAGACGCCATCGTGAAGGTGATAATTTCCTGGCGCGTGACGATTCATCTGTATTAGGCTCCTCCTCCTCCTCCTTCCTCGTCGCCGTCGTCTGATGTTGTGGAGTTGACCAGTGACTCTGAGGCGAGTGCCAGAGAGGACCCCACCGTCGCCGCGTTGAGGGAGAAGGATGCGGTAAGTGGTGGAGATGGTGGATGCTACATTGTGTTGTCGCCGTCAGATAATAGCTGCTAATGCTGGAGAGCTGAGTCGGCTAACGGAGGTATTGAAGGAGAAGGAGAGGCAATTGGAAGGGATGAGGGTAGAGCAAGCGGCGACTAAGGTGGGGGCGGCTCTTCTGAGACTTGGATGGAGGGTTTCCTATGACCCTGTTAGTGAATGCTTGGGTTACCATCGTCTTATGTGCTCAGATGGTACGCAAGCGACGGAGTGATGAGAGTTCTCCTGAGAGGGAAGGGGATGAGGTCAGTCAGCCGATGGCAAAGAGGTGAAGCACTCGGGTTCGATCCCCACGAGCGTCATTATTGAATCAGGTATAAGGCCACCATAGAGCGGCTCAGTGAGATTGACCGACTCCATGAAGAAATACGAAAGCTGAATGCACGGGGTAGGCGATGCCTCTCGACGGAGGGTCTCGAGAGGATCCTTAGCATTCAGATCAGCCTTCTGATGAAGCATCGCATCGCTTGACGGAAGCTGTGGTGGAGAGGGACGGGGCCGTTAGGGAATTGCGAGAGTTCAAGATTGAGATGCAAGAGTACTACTATTGCCTCCGCTTCTGTTGTTTTCAGCTGGTCGTTCAGGCACCTTCGTGGATTCGCCTCGAGCGTTGAGAGTCTCACTGGTTGGCGGGTGAATCCCCTACCGGATGGTCATCGATGGCATCTTAGGTTGAAGGAAGAACCAACGCAGCAGGTGAGAAGATGTCCTGGAGAGGATTCGAACCCGCGCCCTCTTGGATGGGAGATTTGTGTATCATCTTCAGCCTCTATCCATCGAAGTGAATCAGAAGGTTGAGCATGGTCAATATGAGATTGTCTCCTCTTCGCGTCGTCTCCCCGATGAGGCCGTGACTTGGCTCGTCGACCTGGATGATATGCCGGAGATGCTTGCCGCATTAGTATTACTGCGTGGATCTCAGATTATGGACGTTTCCTAGTAGCATCACTCAGTGTTGCGTTCTTAGTGGCGTTAATACCCATCTCAATTACCACAATGGGAGGAACTACTCTTAGTTTGTTTAGTAATGCCGTTGTCAAAGAATTCTGATACCCCAGATGACACGAGGTGAGGAGAGGAGGACTCAGGGATTGGCTCAGCTGGGAGAGACTCCGCACTATTACTCTTGTGAATGATATCATCTTCAGTGATAATCTAAGAGCTTGGGGTTGCGGCCCTGCAGATCTCCCAGCAACTGCAATTGTTCAGGTTTGATCTGAAAACAGTTGATAAGGCCGCCGAGTTACGGCGAGATGCCAGAGCGTACATGGCAGATGGTCGGTATGATCAAGGCAAGGAAGCGTAAGTTGTCGAGGGTCTGGGCCTATATAGGGGAGGGTGGTTTCTGGTGATGGCGTTGGTTGTATGTCTTCGCCCCTCTTGTGCTTCTCCAGCGGGTGTTACTGCCACCTTGTAGCTCTTTGGTTGTCCGCTAGTAGAGTCTAACGGTATCTGGTGAGGATGCTGCTCTCTTAATGAGTGTATATAATATCGTAGCTTACTCAACTCTCACACTCTGGAAGAATGACTCGCTGAGTCTCGCTAGTTCGAGGGCGTAGCGTTGCTATATTATACCACACTCGAGTCTACTTTGTCCGAATTCAATGGTCTCCTCCTATTGCAACTATTCACAGTTGCCGTCTGTAGTGCTAAGTTCCCTCAGATACCTAGCATCAGCTCAATGGCTTGTGGCTGGGAGGGATGCCAATACGGACCCTAAGCGGCGATCGCTGTTCAATAGGCATTTGGCTGAGACGCTTGGCTTGGCAGAGGAAGCCGTGCGTGCAAGGAGTCATTTGGGTATGCTGTTATACTATGGCTTCAGGCTGACAAGATTCGTGTCTTCGAGGAAACGCAGAAGATAGTCGAGACTGACGGTTGCTACTCCTCGGGTATGGCTAAGATTGATAGTTTAGTGAATAGTCATAGGTGAGGTAGGAACATGGAGCTGCTGGGGATCGAACCTGTGTAGGTTTATGGAGGCTTTGAATACATTGAAGTCGTGCCGCCATCGATTGGAGCAGATAGAAGCTGTTTTGGTTGAGTCCTGTGAAGGAGAGGGGAGGGAAAGTCCGACGCGGCGAGCGGTTAGTAATAGCAGGGCTCGAGTAGATGAGATGATAGCGAGGTGCCGGGTTCGATACTAGCACCTGTCAAATCCACTCTTCGATTCATTTACAGATATCGAGAGCTGAGCAAATCGCCCGTATTACCGTTGAGAGCGGCGGGTTCTAGCAAGCTGAAGAACCCCTTGAAGGCACAGCTGAAACAACAGCAGCAGCAGCTGTCTGTCATTTCGGAGCCTTCGACCTTATCGCCTGAACGAGTGTTGACCGCTAAGGAGAGTAGAATCGTGATCAGAGGAGGGGAGATTGGCGGAATGGAGTTCCCTGAATGGTCTGACGATGAAGATGCTGTTATACTCGATGATAGTGGAGGACGAATGTAGGGTGGAAGTGCGCCTCTGGCGTGAAGTTAGCTCATTAGATTATCCGGGACTATGCCTCAATTCACCAGAAATAATGATGACGTGCTGAACCTGTCGCCACAACAAGAGCCTCTTTGCACCAAGTGGGGTCCACTGTCGAGTGCTGTAAGGAAGCATTCCTCGTGGAGATTGTGGCAGATCGAATCCGATCAGAGTATTCCTGCGAGTAATAAGGAGACCAGATTCCTCGTCACGGACACCTCGGCTGGGCAGCTAGTGCAGAATCTCGTTGGCGACTGTAGCTTCATATCGGCTTTAGCGATATGTAGGTTGGAGCACAGGATGCATTGGGAAGTAGTTATCATCCCCAGGCATGCATTGGGAACAACGGTATCCTGCTAATGGCCGCCAATCTGACCAACCTCGACTGTTCTCGGATAAGATATATCCACAAAATCGGCAGGTCATCGAGAGCTTCGCTCTGCTAAGAGTGAATTCAATCCTTTGGTAGGGGCAAGCCGTGAAGTCACCAACGGGCGCTTACAAAGTTAAGTTGTTCGTGAATGGAGTATGGAGGCTGGTAGAGGTCTCCGACTGGGTGAGTCCACTGTGGCACTATTGGTCATGTCGGCCAGCGTTAATATTGCTGGTCGTCCATCGGTCGAAACCATGAGCCGAGATGACTACCCGGATGACTATCTTGGTCGTGGTTTCAGTTCCCCCTCTCTTCTAGCGGTATGTTGTTGACATCTTATTGTAAGAATGGTGACTGGTGGGCACCAATCCTCGAGAAGGCCTTTATGAAGGTTCATGGGTAAGAGGCAGTGGCAAGAGCAGCAAATCGCATGAATTGCATCATTTCAGAGGATATGGGTTCCCTGGATCCATCGGTTCCTGTGACCTCTACGTCTTAACAGGCTGGCTGCCTGAGGAAATCTTCTTTGCAGACCTAAGGTCTACAACACCACCGAGTGTTGCGTCTGAACCGGAGGTGTTGGCACGTAAGTCTGTCGGCGTTATTGGAAACTATTTTTGGAATTGTTCGCAGACTGAGCAGAATGCCCAGCAACGACTCATGTTCGGAAGCAACAAAGCGCTACGAATTGCAATTCCATTCGCTTGGTCATGTGCAGTCTCCTACTATGGACTATGATCAGGTTCGTCTACCCCACCGAAGTCTCTCTGTGACCCTGAGCGAGTGTGGGAGATCCTACATTCTGGAACGAAGCATGGTGGGGATTTCGCTCCCTCACCTGCCTTCTGAGGAGCAGCTGTTGTGCCAATAGCAACACTAACCGCTTCCACTCAGGTGATTGCCTTCTAACTGTAGCATGTGGTGAGCTATCAGAGGCAGAGTCCAGCAGGACAGGTTTAGCCAGTCGCCATACTTATGCCATACTGGAGGTAAGGCGGAGCTCTTTGTACCTTCAGGATCATCCAGCTGAATAGGTTGGAGAGTTCAAGGGCAAGCGGTTGCTCATGTTGAAGAATCCATGGTCGTCCTTGAGATGGAGGGGGAGATTCTCCCCCGAGGATGAAGTACCTAAGCTGTTAGAAGCATGCAGCCCCAATTGACCTTCCTAGAATCTTGGTCTGATGAGAGTCTGAGACAAATGCTGCATTACGATCAGCTAACGAGTGGTGACTATGACAGAGGATTGTTTTGGATCGACTTTGAAAGTTTAGTGCGGTAAGTTGCATTAACAGATTTGCTACTCAAGGCCGTCAGAATGGATGTGGAGACTCCTCTACGAGTGATTTCTTGGTTTCGATTTACTAGTATCTGAGTCCCTCTCTGCTGAGACGCTGCCTCTCACTATCTCCACATCGAATAGGCTATGGCATAAACCATATTCCGTTTGGGTGGTTCACCAGTATGTTGTGCGTATACTTATGAAGGCGAGATGCGTCTCTTAGGCTTCATGACGAGAATGGATGGTTTGCAGATGCCGAGGACAAGGTTTGAACCTGGGTTGTCAGGTATTTCGACTCCGTATGTTTGAATTGGAACCCGGCATTGTTCCGACATTCCTATTCTGTGCACGGTGAATGGTTCTACTTGAGGGATGTCAGCAAATGGGTGGAGAACGATAGATTTTTCCTGGGCAACAATCCACAGTAATCGAGAATTGGTCTCAAGCACGCTTATGAAACTGGAGAAGTAGGTACTCGATCGATATACCTCGTCCAAGGCGCCCTAGCGATGTAAGTGTCCTCTTTTCCTCCACTGAATGGTCCGTCATTAATAGTGACACATTATGTGCATGTGTGATGAGGATAGGAGTTATTAATCTTCAGGGCTAGAATCTTTTTCACACTACGTTTTGGGAGAGATGCCCGTCTGTGAGTATCTAGCTTGATAGATGCAGTGAAGTTGTTGAGAGTGAGTTGTCGTTTGTACATCTCCTGCTTCATGTGCGTCGAGTATGTGGATGAGTATCAATCCCCAACAGCTGACCATCGTTGACGCATGATCGGCCGAAGCTTCCTTTTTAAGTCATATGTTATTAGATACTGGTATGGTTGGTGCTGACTCAGCACAATTCAGAGTTTCCGACTCATGAGAATCAAGATTTTATATTCAACAACGTCACAATACATGTTTATCGCACCCGGTAATTGGATACCGTACTCCAACATCATCATTACTGTGTAAGGTCATCCCATCGTCGTATTTACCGTCCAGATCGGCCGATGGTTCAAGGTGTCTACACCAACGCGCCGCATACGACCATCAAAGTTCAGCTACCTTATGATCAAGTACCTCCTTCGTCCTCTGTATGATGGTCTCATATTATCTTCCTCAGTTCTTTTACGATCCCTCCCAAGACGTACTCCATCTTACAGCGGTGGTCGGTGTTTTTGACCGCCGGTTTTCTCCGATTGATTTTTCAATACGTTTCTGTTCGACATCCAAGGTTCAAGTAGATTCGATTCCCCTCCGGAAGGCGCACCGCTCCGTCGTTTCTGATGCCGGGTAAATTCCTCATCCTTTCTCATCGTCCTTTGATTTTTGGTCGTCAGATGGAAGTCTGGATTTAATGCAGGGGGAAGTGGTGACAAGAGCACATTCAAGAGGAACCCCATGTGGGTTTGTATGTAAGCTCATCATCATGCCAATGACTTGATACAGTTCCTTATTCAGGTTGGACGCCGATGCCGCTCGTGCTATACCCGACTGGGAATTCCGAGCTACTGTCTGTGTTGGCGGTGGTGGGAGTGTTTTTGATGATGAAGATGATACTGAACAGGTGGGGAAGGAAGTCTGCATATATATGCATTGTTGTACTTATCATTAGGTGACTAATAGTGTTTACAAACCAGCAGTGCATTTCCTCCGATCGTCTGTGCTTCGAAGCTGTCCATCATCGATGCCTCTGTTCACCGATGAAGTGTTAGCTATGTGCCCGCACTGGCCTAATATGTATGTTTCCAATAGAGTCGGCAAAAGTAAGTCAGTGATCACCGTCCTCTGTCTCCCCGGATCATCCTCGATGTCTAATACTGTCACACCTGGTCCAGGTGACCTGGATCGGTAGTGGGTTTCGAAATAGCCTGGTTCCTTCTAGGTACCTGCCCACCAAACTTCGATGGTGTGATAGTAGTGACCCCGTGTACACTTGACGCTGGAATAGAAGCTTCCTTCCTACTCGATATGGAGTGCGACTGTCCATTTTCAATACTTAGATGTATTAGTGTCAACCCCGACGAGCCGGAGCCGCCGTCAACACCACCACTGTCGGGCACCTCCCAGTCATTCAACCATTGATCAAGACCATTGATTTCATATAGGATTATCTTGCCATTCACTTGCTTTGTGCTGTAAAGTTTTGTGCAACATAGAGGTTTTATGATACCACTCTTCGCTCACATCCTCCTGCTATGCTACTTTGCAGTAGCAGGGTCACTTGCTGAGGAACTGTATTGTGGTGATGATGATTGTTGTAGGACACGCAATAATGAACTTGAATGATGAAGATGAATCTTAGATAAGATACTCGATGTAGCTCAAGACGCCCCCGATGTTGAAATACGCAAAGCTTATCGACGGCTTGCGGTTAAACTACATCCAGACAAGAACAGAGACGTCGACGCGTCCCTGGCGAACGAAGTAGTGGCCTCTTCGGCTGTCGTTGCCTAATTGACTCCATTTTCAGCAATTCCAACAGCTTGCTAGAGCGTATGAGGTTTTATCATCACCACAACTGAGGGAGGCATATGACTACTTCCTTGCCCATCCAAATGAGCAACTGTAGAGGAGTAGTCCATTCCTCTGTGGCATCTATCCTGTATTCCAGGTATAACCGGTACCGGTTCTATCGAGCCCGGTACCAGCCAAAAGTAGCTTCCGTACGAGACTCTCGCCCTACACTCCTTCGCAGTTACCTCTACTCCACCTCATCCTCGGTCTTTTGGTTTTTATCACTATAATACAGTATATAAATGCGTGGACTTTGTAGGCCTCGGAGTTGACACATACATCATCAACACGTTGTTGTTGAAGATACAACCGTCATTGCCGTATTGCCAACACTTCAACGCAGTTTCGCGCCAAATTGGCGACTGAGAGACAACAAGACCACACGGGTGCATCCGAGGACGAAGTGAAAAGGCAGCTGTTGTCGTCGGTTGTCATTGATGGTCATATGATAGACAAGCCAAGCATACTGCAGACAGTGGGTACCAATAGTGCTCATATTCGACATCCTCCGTTCTTAGCTACCATTCTGGCCATTACGGAAGCTCTGGTGGCTTTGGTCCACCAGGCATGAACGTCGAGAACGAAGGTATGGCTTATCGGGGGCGAGGGTGATGGCGATTGTATCGTCAGACTGATGGAGGAGAAGGCTAGGGTGGCCGCAGAGGAGCAAGCCAAGGCGGAGGAGGAACAGGTGATGATGACACCCTTCTCAAGTGTATCGAGCCTTAGGCACGTCATCGGAGGGAAGAGAGATTGAGGTTACGTCAGGCAGGGAGGGAGAGGAAGATGAGGGAACAACGGCAACGACGAGAAGCTGTAGCCTTTGAAGCAGTGGAGTTGTTTACATAGCCTGTATGAATAGGTCGAACAGCATGCCGAGGAGAAGGCCAAGGCTGAAATGAAGAGACGGCAACAGAAGGCTGCTGTGAGCTGGTAGGGCTCTGTGCTTGCATACTGACCTCGTTGTCAGGAGCGTGCAGCCTATTTAACATCACGAGATAGGCTCACAGAAAAGCTGAAGCGGGTCAATCCCAAGGCGTATGGTATAGTGTTGAGTCGGATGAGCCGCGAGGAGGTACGGTCGTTGTCGCAGATGGTACTTGGTATCAGATTGGTGCCATCTAGGTGATCAAATACTCGACGATCTCGGACAAGGAAGTTCTTATTCATTTGGTACATATGGATTTGAGCGTCCACAGGGATGTGTTCCCGTAGGTGGAGACAAAAATGAATGGCGATAAGGAGGAAGAACAGACCACTGAATGGAGCGAAGAGGAGTTGGCTAAGTTGACCAAAGCCCTCACCAAGTAATGATACTCTCATAGCAATTATTGCTTACTGAAGTATAGATACCCTGGCGGTGTGCGCGATAGATGGTCCAAAATAGAGGAGTACATGAATACGAGGACAGAGAAAGAGATCATAGCAAAAGCTAGCGAGTTGAAAAGTCAATTATTTGCTCGTAAATAGTATTTGCCAAGTTGTGTGATTGTGTTACGGGATAGAATTCTATAATAACACGAATATGATCACACTATACATTATTAGAGCACGTTCAATAGACATAAAGATCACGTTCACTCCTCTTCCTCAATAACAACATCAGGGCCACCATTTTCATCCGTTGTGCAATCTTCATTTCAACACCTTAATCTCCAATTGACAATTATACGAGTCAATTTATATCAGTCAATTTTCAGATCATCGACCCATTTAGAGCAGCTACACCTTTTTAACCTCCATTTCGCCATTACAAACTTCAATTCCACTAGGCGAGCGAGTTCGTGCGCCAACATACTCCTATTGAAACTCCAATTTCGACGGCGCGTGTTTTAGGGAACTTCAATTTCATCAACACGTCGATTCAGAAACTTCAACTTCGACAGAGCGATGTAGGAACTTCGACTTCGACATAATAGTTACTCCTTTTCCGCACATAGGGACATCAATTTCGGCAGAAGTCTGCGATCTAGCTGAAGTTTTCCATGGTCTCCTGACCATCTTTGGTTGACAGAAAACACAAGTGGAGAGGTCGGGATTCAGGATCCCTTGACAAGTCTCGACGTCAAACGGCATTGCTCTGGAAGAAAGTAGTAGCATACACTTTGAGTTGAAACGTAAATTGAAAAAAATTGTGTGACCGCGCCCGCCCGTGATCTTGCACTACCAGAAACCTTGAGTAGGGGAAGATACCGTTACGGTGTTGGGGGCGTTCGGTAACATTAGTTGTGTTCACTGAGTCTTCTACTACCCGCATACGAATACGGTAGGAGGCTCCTTCTGGCTCTACTGGAGGATATTGTTGAGAGCTCCTGGAGAAGCTCGGAGCTACTCTTATGCTATGGTTGGTAGATGTCATATTGGGAGGGGATAGCTTTGATGAGAACGCTGATGAGCGATTGGAGGATCTATACTGACTAGCTCAAGCTATTCTATGTCCACACACTGATGCATCGTATGGAATTGAACGGAACATTACTCTGAGAAATGGTACTAATGTGAGTTATTCAATCGTCTTAGGGGAAAGTAGCTCCCAGGTAACAGATCATAGTCTCCCACACTGCTCTTGTGTTCGCGCCAGTCTATAATTCTTCCTGGGGGCCCAAGCCGGTAGGGTAATTGTCGGTATTATTACTACGAGCTACTTGTGAATTCCTCGTTCGAGTTTCCATCCTTGGATTAGTTATTAGCACATCCGATAGGCATATATCAGTCTCCAGCGGAAGGAGGTGTCGCTGGCACGAGATCGAGCCCTGAGTTGGGCTTGTGTAGAGGCCCTGGCATGATAGTGTGCTTAGTCTTTGGTATCGGCACAGGCCCATGAGGTCTATATCTCCCTTGCAACCTATCACGAAGAGGATGGAGGATGTATATTTAGTGTTTATTCGTTTATTGCCCCATCGTAGTGACCGTAAGCGAGTATGCCTCGGTCGATAGTGCTCAAGAGGGGTATTGAAAGTCTAAGGAGAGGCTATTACCGAGGGCTAGCACAGGCAATTGAGACGGTAGAGGGAGAACTAGGAATGAATACGGAAACTATAATGAACGAAGTAGAACTACGATGGGGCGGTGGTTCTCGTGATGGTAGATATTTCAGAAGTTTTGGGGTCGGTCATTTTCGACTTTGGAGTCAATGGCTAAAGAGGAGGATCCGAAAGTCATTGTAGGCCTGTTCTGTATCTTACACGCTGAACCTGAAGATTCACCTACCTAGCATCTCTGCAGGCCCAGATTGTTTCAAACTGTGAGATGATGCATCGACGATCAATACCACTCTTCAATGAACTCAAAGGGACCTTGTTGAGGACTGTAGGACTTGGCAAACCCACCCTTCATAATCATCCTATAGTTACCTCAATGGGAAGTTAATGAGTTGGCTACGGTTGTGAAGGGATGGCGAGAGCTCGGGTATTGTTACACGAAGGGGGGTATTGTCAATTGATAGCCTCTGGAGGTACTTGACACCGGATCTGCTCTTATTCATGCTACCCTACATAGCTGATAATATACAGTCAATGGCCAGCCATCACATCGTAGGCTTTACTATGTTACTGCCAGCTGCTCAAATTCGTCGCCTTTGTAGGTCGTTTTTCTCGATGCTTTCGCTACTCTCCGTCTAACAGTAGACCCTCAGCCTTTGATCGATGCAGCGACGGCCAGAATCGAAGTGCCCTTGAGGACTTCCTCAGACTTCCGAGTGTTCCTTGATCTCAGGAGTTCACCCCAATGCAGCTCGTCTCTGTTTGCTGTAGTCTGGCCAGATTGAACGTAGCAGCTATGGGAAGGGCGACACGATTGGGGTCATCAGATACCCAACTTGAGTATAATCTCTAGGAGTGCTGAAGTGATATGCGAGATGCTTCCTGAACATCGGGACGAAGTCTTTGGTCATGGACAAGACGTTGCTATCGCCATGTAAGGGATGGTCGTGGCTCTCTGTAGGCGATCCATGGTAGTTACTCATTCGCTAAACTGAGAGCCTTGACCAATCCCTCGCTATGGCCCACCCTTCTGTCGTTGTTCCATCACACAGTGGATGGTATGGTCGCAGCTCACCTCACAGTATGTAATGCTGGCTCGACTTTGTTGCTACTCTTCTATGCAGATGTGTGTCACAGCCTTCAAGAGGGTTCGTGTCCAGTTAACGCCATCTCTCGTCGCTGCATTGAATCGTCGAGTAGAGTAGTACCCCATTTAGTGGTGTAGTTGATGTCCTTAGGCTATGAAAGTGATGGCGGAGTTCTCCGCTACGGGTTTGGCCTTGTTTCTGCGCGATGTAGAGGTCGTGTCTGAATCATTGCTGTCCCGTGTGGTAATGCATCTACCAAGGCTACTCGAGAGTGCTAGTGCTGAGGATGTGGCTGTACTCGTCAGGGAAGGCCTCCTCTCTGTAAGGGTGTACTGGCCGTCGGACGGTCTGAGTTGTTTTAGGTTACAACTGCTCGGCCTCCTCCACTGGCCGTCCTTGATGTACTACGCCCCTTCATAATACAGTTTGCAGGGAGCTTCACTGATGTCCAGCGGGTGTGGTTAGAGTCTACTGTTCTTGTTCGTACAACTCCTTGTTGTTCATAAACTCAGTTGGGTATAGTCGAGAGCTTATTACATCATCACGGTGAAGAGGAGTCTGTGGTGGAAGTATTGGATACCTTCCGTATGGTGGGGTACGTAGATCCAACATCGAGGGGCCTTTCAGTATCTGAGAAGATTATCACCATCGAGGATGGTCCGGCTGTTGCCCAGCCTTTGTTGGCATGATGCATCGTGAGTTTCTGAAACTCTTATTTCGAGTTTTGAGAGGTTTTGTAGTAGAGTGCGAGGGGCAGTTGAAATCAGTCATTATCGTCAGTGCGAGGTCCGTCAGTTTGATATTGATCTATGTATGACTGCTCCTGCGCGATGGGTGGAAGAGCAAGAACGTATCCGTAGTAGAGTAGTAGTTGGAAGCTGCGAGCGGAAGCCCTATGAAGTACGTCAGTCGTGTTCAATGGGGATAACAAAGGAATCCTTCTCAGTGCGAGTATGTTGGTGGATTTGACATAACCTCTGATCCGACGCTCAAGGAGGACTTCTGCGTTGCGGTACACGAGATGATGTTCCGGCATGGTCGAGCTTGCGTGCTATGCAGGGCCTAGTGATAGTGCATTTGCCAAGTCGATCGACAGTGTATGAGGACTATATATCAGTTGATCTAAGTCAACCATACGTCCCAGGGTTCTTAGCATTCAGGGAATGCGAACCTATGCTGGAGCTAATTCGACGTGTAGGTCCCCTCGCTACAACCAGTACTACACCAACTTGATAGGTCCCCCCTGAGCAGCGATTAGATGTGATAATGGTGGATGGTAATGGTCTGCTACACCCAAGGCGATGCGGTGCGGCGTGTCATTTGGGAGTGTTGGCTGATGTGAGGATCATCATCATCATACTAGTCTACAGTTGGTGTATAGATGAGGTCAGATACCCTCCATAGGTGTCGCTAAGAACTACTATTGTTCAATCCCTGCCACACCATCTCGAGATGAGCTGAAAGATCGGGCTCGACGAGAACTTTGCGGGATGGGGGACTACTTTTTTATTGAGGATGCTGATGATGGTGATAATTACGAGAGCCTGTCATCAGTCAGACATAGCCAACTCAGGTTTTGTATACGGTGCTGCAGTGAAGTCCTCGGAAGGATCAACCAATCCGATGTAACACGACAATAGATATACATGATTCATGATGCTATGCTTGAGAAATTATCTGAGAGTCGAAATGATGACAAGGACGTGTCTGATACGTGTGTATCAGTTACGTCTCTGTCGGACACCGCTTGGCATTGCAAGATTGCATAGATATATGCCTTAAATGCTGCAGCAATGAATCTCGAGTACCAGAGCCCATTAGGAGAGCAGATCATGGGACAAGAGAATTGATGCGAAGCCATCTGCAAGTCAAAGCAGGTCGAGAATAGTAATGATACTTCTCGAGCTGATCGACTCGTGTTGGGGAGTAATTCAGTGGGTGTGATAGTAGTTTTCGGTAAAGTATCCTCCATGCCTGCATCGGCTGATGCCCAACATTTGTCCGAATCTCTGGGTCAGCCGCTGGACAGGTGTGTGGTTGCATTGAGGAGATGCCATGAGGATGTCGAGGCAGCTGCTGCTTATCTTATGGAATTTATGGTAATGGGCAAGATCATTTGGGAGGATATGCTTTCAACTGCTTCGCTGTAGAATACGGAGTTATTCCCATTTGCTCGTATTGGATTATCCAATTTGGATAAGATTCTCAGCATGAGAAATGACCCTCCTTACTGGATCACCTCACTCATCACTATTGCGGAGATGCCGGAAGAATGACCCCCTCTTTTCTCAGGACTTTCCCGACGAGTTTTGGCTGAGTCAAAGTTTGGACGAGGACGTTGATATGGTGTCGTCCCCCACCCATCAAGGGGAGATGGGGGACTCAAATGCGAATGATAAGAGCATGGAGTGATGGACATAATTCATCGAATCGTGGTAATGATACCTAATCAGGTACATAATGTCTGATCCTGATACAGCTGCAGCTGCGGAGGCAGATCCCGAGATTGATAAAGTAATCGTTGTAGGGCAGAGGCTCGTCGCATTAATGGAGTAGATACTACGGGAGTCGATGCAGGATGCAGAAGGGGAGGTTGGGAAAGCAAGTGGTGGGTAGTGTCAGTGTGTCTCTGCTGGTTAGATGCTGATCTGCCAGGTCCGAGTAGAGCCACTGAGGGGGCTCCTCGAGAGGCGGGAATGAAGCCTGCCGAGTTTGATAGGTTTACCACTAGCGAAGAGGTGGGTTGGTACGTATATGAAGATCCACGAATTAGTGTGGGTAGGTTGATGAAGAAGGGCTGAAGAATATCAACGAATATTGCAATAATATGGGCACTAATTTTGTAGACCCAGCCTTTCCTCCGCTCAACAGGAGCCTGTAAGTGCATGTATCGTTCCTGTTAGTGAATTCAGTCAATGAGTTAGGTACTTCGACGAGGCCTCCGCGACGCATTGGACGTGCCAAGAATGTCATTATAATGGCAATCCTCTGCCGAATGAGGACCCTCAGGAGGAGGTTGAAAGGGACGAGATGAGGAGGGAGATGCGGACGTTTTTCCAGTAAGGGAGTTTGGGGCACTTGGGATTGCTAGAGGAATGGTATCAGATACATTGAGATGACTAATCCCGTTATGGCTGAGCAAATGCGTCAGAATCCCGGAACACTACAAATAATGTATAGCACTGTGTAACATGGGGAGTTGAGCGTATGTTGGTAGATTGACGGAAGACCATGCAGGTATGAACAGAAGCACGGTCGTCCGCCACCGACATCAGAGTCTGGATCTAGTGATGGAAAGAAGCTTGTGTGCTCTCGCTGTAAAGCTGAAGCTGGATTCGTGGTATTGCAAGCTAGGCCCAGTCAATGGCTCAGACCAGTTGACATTCGAGATGACGTTACTATGGAGGTATTGTCTGCTGAGGGGAACATCGTCTAAGTATTCAGTCAGATCGGGGGTACTCCTTGGGAGGTCATACGTGGCGAGCCGTCACCCGATGATATACGGCAAGGTACTGTGAGAGTGCATATACGCTTTTTGTATTCTTGGGATATTATTCAGGTGCATTGGGTAACTGCTGGTTTGTTGGGGCACTGAGTCTATTGGCTCAGAAGCCCCGACTGGTGGAGAGCATCCTGTCAGCATCCAAGGCATATAATCCTGTTGGCGCGTGAGGCCTTTGATCTTTCCCTACAGTGCATCCGTATGCTCCTAGATATGTGGTACGACTATGCCGGGATGGCGTGTGGCACAATGTGGTTGTGGACGACACTTTCCCGTGTACCAGGTTGGGCATGCTAGCTTACACTAAGGCGGCTAGGAGGCAGCTGTGGGTGAGAGGACCCTTCTCATTCGGCACTGTGCCGACGGCACAATGGGCGATGGCATCGCCGCGATGCGATAACTAATAAATTATCAGTCTCCAATTTGTGAAGCATGGTGGTAGGATGCCATGACTTAGAGAATTCCATTACAACTCGCGTGTATTTCGGTTATATGCACTCGTTGCATATCCCGGGATCGGTGGTTCCGAGCAGGTTCCCCTCATCGAGAAAGCTGCGGCGAAGCTATTTGGCTGTTATGAAGCATTGAACAGTGGAACAATCTCGGAGGCTATGTCCTTGTTTACAGGCTACCCGACGACTAGGGAGATCCTCTTCAGGTGAGTTACGATGCCGCTTTTTGAGAGCTAGTGGATTGGTGCGCTGTATCAGATCTCCAGAATGGTTAGCTCGGAAGAACGAAGAACTGAAGGCGAGTGGATCTGACATGACGGCTGAGGAGGAGTGGAAGTCTGAACTAGAAGTGTTGTGGGCTAGATTGCTCACCAGTTATGAAGCCGGGTACTGAAAGGCTGTGGTATCTGATCCTTGCTTATCATATGTGTCGCAACTGCACTCTTAATCACTCCGTAACCTGCGGTGGCGACCATCATCATTCGTTTTTCCGTAATGAAATGGTTCTGGAGAGCGTTTGGACGAAACACTTCTTCGTACCACATGCTGTTCCGGAGACAGCGTCTCCATACTTGTTCTATCCAGCTGTTACTTCCCTTGTACTACCCTCGATTGAGAAATCTTCATTGAAGGTTGATTAGAAATCATCTATGCCAGAGAGGGCATTTGCGAGATGGACGTCATTGCGTGTCGGAGAGCACATTGTGAACACATTTTTGAGCCTTGGGATAACAGAGGCTGACGGACGGTCACAGCATGGAGTTGGTTGTTTGACCGATTATCTACGTAGATTTGGGTCCGAAGGTTCCCAGTGAATATAAGGACGAAAACCATTCGTTCACATCATGTGAATCACACAGTGTGATTCACACTCTGGCTTTGGCCGAGCTATCCGTTTTGAGAGACTGGTCAAGAGTTGTCTAGACACATTTCGAAGATCAGCAGAACTGTGAGCTGAAGCCGATATCAATCCCTGTATATCCCTTCGAAGCGGTTGGCATAGATTTCTACGGCCCGCTGAGGGGTTGACAGCTATAGGATGCTCGGATGCCTATATAGCTATAGGCATCATACCCCTAGTCGAGCTTATCAGTGAGGTGATACTCATGTTCATGTGCCTTGCCATACTATTTCATGTGAGGGAGGATCTGGGTCGGCGTCCGAGCATGTCCACACGTTCATGGGATAGGCATACCGACAGTTATTAACCTAGTGCCGCCTCGAATTGCTCGAGTCGGAAATAATGAGTATAATTGTTCTATACCGGAGCAATTGCCTCATTGAAGGGATACATGGCCTAGACGGTGTGGAGTAGTCCCTAGATCCGCAAGGGTGCTTGGACACTCATTCTCAGGAAGAGCTATTCTGATCTACGGGAAGTTTCTGCTCAGATTTATGTCTTGCTTTCGGATGAGACCTTCGCTGTGAGGGTTGATCGAGAGATCTTTATCTGAAAAATGTCGATCTCACGGCTGTGCTACTCGCTACAGAGTTTCCGTAGTGGGTGGTAGTACCACCGTGGTACAGCACTGTACGAAAGCTCACGGAATTCTGTTGATGGAAAATAACTCTCCAGTATTGACGTTAGACTTCCCTGCGTTAGGCACCTGCTTGGCCTCGCATGCGCACCTACATTTCGACATTCCAGGGCGGAACTGAAGGATCATGGCCTCCAGGTATGAAAGGGATCACTAACTGTTGCAAAGCGTGAACAATTGAGAACATTAGTTTCGAACTCACGGTTCGATATGGATGTCTCCGCATGAACTCCACTGCCCTTATTGAGCTCCCATTTGTTCGTCCAACTAGCGATGACCCGGGGGCGTGACATCATCTGTTCCCTTCTGCCGAATGTAGAACCTTGCGTAAATGATCTCTGCAGGCTCCACATGCTTACTCCGTGATGAATGTGCGAGAGGTGGGAGAGAACCGCCTCGTCCTACTGCGGAATCCCTGGGGAATTCAGAGTCCAAGTAGGTAGAGCGAGGCCCGATCGCACTCGTTCATTTTTTCAATATGCCCAAGTCAGGATCGTGGAATGGCGCGTGGTCTCGGGATTCAGACAAGTGGACGGATGAGTTGAAGCGTGAGCTCGGCGTAGTCAACAGTGCGGGTGTCTCTATGTGGGTCCATGTGAGCGGTTCAATGTGTATGTGGTAGTGTAGGTACGATTCGAATAGTATGTTTTGGATGGACTGGGAGGATGTAGTGGAATACTTCGCAAGTCTGGAAATATGTCGGGTACTCCTCCATTACTAACCCTATATGTTCCGACTCCTGCTACTTGTAGGTCCACGAGGACTATCCCTCTGATGCAGTTGTTAGGCAGCGATGCTGGCTACCAGCTCTTACCGGGCTTGGGGAAATGTTTACTGTAGCAGCGCCGGACGATGAAGGTGGGACATCATTCGACTTGTGTTGCCACAGATTTGACCTAACAGACGCATCTGTGGATATAACGGTCTATCAAGAGAGTAATAAGACGAGGGAGAGTGCTGTTGGAATGGCCAGTACTTTGGTGGATATTGGTCTGGTCATTATCCGGGTTGATCCCAATTCTGGTGAACCCTTGGAATGCATTGGTACGGCTAAGAAGGATATCATGCCTGAAGTGACAGCGAGTATTTTGAAGGGGTCCTGGTGTTTTATCTTTCATTATCAGGTCAACACCGAATTGTTTTTGAAGCGAGGTGAGACTTATCGCATAGTTCCTCTATCCTTTGCTCACTCGATGGAGTTGGGTCATAGGAAAAGTAAGATACTCACCGGGTCGGGAGGAATGTCGTCCTCTATATTACCCCAGGTACGGTGGCGATACATTCATCACGTGCATTGAAGTCAGTGTCCTCCCCTCGAAGGATGAGCAGCATCGAGTCTGGTCTCGCCACGTAAGTAGTGGTAGGGAACGTGCTACAACATATCATTACTGTTGCCATTGAGGAAAGGAGCCTTGTGTAGGTGTGCATAAAATTCCTGACATGTTCGAGTGAAGTTTCCTGATATGAGCAAATGATAATGCGTATTCCATATTATCAAAGTGAAATATCGCCAATCACAAGAACTCCATTTTTAATATATTGCTTTGAGAAGAGTAGCTAACAACACAATGTCACAGACCACCATAGAAGGGCTACTTTTATTACGCATAAGCCTCCATCATCAGATGAAGTGGTGTCAGGTTCTTCTACGCGGTGGTACATGGTAAGAGGAAAGAGGTGTCTCCAGCAGGGATTGCAGTATATATATGTCAAGATAGCTCGGGGACTATAGTTTGTGTTGAGAACAAACGAACTGATTGGTGAGTCAGCTGGGAGTAGTTACCTCTGTGAGAGAAGAGTTATTACTGGGAATTATGCTGTATATCACGCTCTGCTAGCTCTCGAGAGAAGAGTGCTTAGGCGGCCCCGTGCTTGTATAGCGGTGTATATGTATGAGTCTAAAACGGGTCTTCCAACAGTTCCTTTGTAATCGAGTTGGATGCCAGCGAGTCGAAGAGTGTGATATCCTCGAGGGGGAGTATGACGACTCAGGATACGATACCACCAATGACCAGAGCGGTACTTATGACATTGAGTCCAGAGAGAAATGCGACCAAGTGAGGATTCGAGAGGTCCCTGGTTCGATCCCCACGTGGCGCATTTTTAGGTTCCAGCTTTCTCTGGCTATGGCGCATGGTGTACAACCTGGTGACGGTGGTGGGGGTATCTTCTTCCCTCCGCCTACGGATGTCACTATGCATGTACGTTAATGATACGTGTGACATATCCCTGACCGATGCTCTAAATGATGATTCTTAGGTATTCCTTCCGATAAGTCAGCAGCCGGTCCCCCACACTGTGTCGCATTCTACTGCAGCGGAGGGATCCACCTCGTCTGTGTCACCACAGCAACGAGTAAAGGCATTGTTCGATGAGTAAGTCCGGACCCCCTCATTAGACGTTGATATCGGCAAGAGAGCTCGTTATGCAGATACGTCGCATCTGGCATGGCTCCTAATGATGCCTTATTGGCTGCCTTAGCTGCGATGAAGAAGTGATTTCCTCAGTTATGTTCCAATTCGATTCACTATGCTGTATGCGTTGGATACCCTACAGGGGGCCTCGTGGATGATATACACAAAGGGTGGATACTGGTATCTGTGTGGTAACTCCCCCCTCCCGTTTCTTAGTTGTCCAGTGATAAATGTCGTCCTCCACTCCTGCTAGTACTACGGACCTTCTCTCATCTCTTCTTCACAAGCCCCTCCGAATTACACTCACTGATGGTCGTGAGATCACCGGACGTCTCTACTGTATAGACGACAAGAAGAACATAGTATTACGGAACGCTGTAGAAAGGAGGAAGGGAAACGAAGGTAGATACTAGATTGTTGCTGTTGTATGGACGGTGGAATTTCGTGGCTCAGTGACGCCTCTCACGATTGGTCTGAGTGAGTCGTCTGAGTGAGCTTGTTCTGTTCAGAGTCGTCGTCCACTCGTAGTATTGGCATGGTGATGATCCCAGGGAAGGACGCAGTGAAGATTGAGGGCTTGAAGAAGGATATCTCCCAATGAGTTTCGTGTTAACAGTTTCTCTTCCCCCTCCTCCTAAAGTTGTGTTCAGCGTGAGGTCAATACTCGTTGTATGGAGTTTTTCCATTGTTGTTCTTCTAGCCTGTGATGGCCTCCGAGGCGGAGTTGGCGTCCCAGGGTCGGCTACAGAATGTCGTGTATTTCAAGTTCAAGCATCAGAATACTCTGGACAAGATAGCTTTCAATGCTGCCGATATTGCGGTGGGAGAATTGAAGGTAATAACGAAAGAATCTCTTCTGGACATGAATCCTGGAATGTAGTCGGTCTCTTCTGAGCTGTGTGTGGCGGCCGCTAGTTTTTCTGTCTGCCTCGCTAGAGCTAGTGTCGAATATTATTATCGAACGCTAGGGTTTTGTTGACCTGAGCAGTGATGATTGTAGTAGCGGTGGTGACATTCCTGCAGACCGTACTAGAAATGGACTCGTGTATGCTCTTTTGCTGATAGTTACTCATTGCTGAGAAGAAGGAATGTGATGCCCGTGACTTACAGCTCTATGAGATGGATCAGTCGACGACAGAGAATGCAGCCTCGGGTACTGGATGATGAGGAGGAGGAGGCGTGAGGGAGCTCATGTTGGTTATGTGTAGGAGAGCCTGGTAAACTGTATGACTACGATGGAGAGCTTATACCTGGAAATGCAACATTGCTGGTGACACGGAAACCAAGTGTTGGAGTGAGCTGGGGACTCGAATTTGGGGAGTGCATTAAAATGAGTTCGTGTTGCCATACTGTAGACAGCGAGGGAAGCACATGTTTCTTGGAGAGTGATGGTATTGTCTCATTCGGTTGTGCTCAGAGGCAGAGTCGTGGTGTTAGAGTGAAGGGCAATATAGTAGTAGAGCATGCACGGTACTTTAAGAAGACTGCAGAAGAGGAAGAGAGAGACTCGTCACCAGCAGGTAGTGAATAGAGGGATTCCATACAGCAAGAGATAGTTATCAGACTCCAGTGCTGCCCCGAGTAAGAGGATAGCGAAGGTACCAGAGACCTGTATATGTCCGATATGCAACAATCTAATGCTGGTAATGGGGTTCAGTGGGGTTATGGACATGACTGTCGACTAAGAGGAAGGGGAGGAGCTCGAAATGCCGTTGAATTCTTTACAGGGTTGGTTTTCTCTTATTGAAATACTGGCCAGATTTTTTATCGAAGTGTTATTGTTCGTCACTTCATCTCTAGGCCCCTGAGCATACCCCTCTGCTATTGCCCTGTTGTGCTGGTACTGTGTGTAAATGCTGTCTAACTGACACGTGTCCACTCAACATGGTGGAGGCATGTAGACTTACTCAGTATGGGGATGCAGAAGGAGATAGGAAACCTGTGGAACATAAGATTGTAATATCGCCAAGGGGTGCCTGTCTATGCTGCCTCGGCCTGATATTGCAGTCGCGCGCCACGAAATTATGATCCACATCGTGTGGTGGTCAGGTGGCAGCTCAGCTGGCGAGTGTGCTGCATTCATATGCATCATATGACTTCAAGAAGGAGACGTGTGGATTCAAGTACCCTGAGGGTCTACTCGATAAAGCTGAGGTTCGGAGGGGGCGTCCATGTGGGGTAGGAGAGGTGGCTGTACTGTCAGGAGAAGAAGGAGGAGACTGTCAGGGAGATGATGGAAGAGGAGGAGGGCCGAGGCAAGGCCAAGAAGAGAGGTTTAGAGGAGGAAGAAGACATCATCGACATTACAGACGATGAAGACGATGGTACTATTGTAGACCTGGATGATGAGGAGGCACTGGCTAAGTAGTATGGGGGGGTCCTTATATAAAGCATGAGGGTAGGGATCTCTGCGAGTGTGGCAGGAGCTTCCTCGTCAGCTCATCTGAATTTTCCGGGTTGTCTTCTATTTGGTATTCTTCAGGAAGGCGAGGAAGTATCGGCCGACAGTGGACCTAATAAAGAAGGAGAGAATAAAGAGAGAGAAGAAGGAGGAGTTGAAGGATGAGGATGATGATGGCCATTGGCGAACAGTTGAACAAAAGATGATGGTAGTAGGGAATAGTAGGGGATAGTAGTCAGGCTTCATAACATTCGGGTCATCTCACGTCTCCCATGTTATGGGTGTATTATTATGTATCGACTTGAAATGATCTTCCTAGTCATGTCACCTCCACACTCCTCCTTGATCAGGCGGGTCATCATCGTAGAGGTCATCATGCAGCACCATGTGCTGTGTCTGGATGTCTGGTAACCTTCCCAAAAGTCTTATCGGTACAGCAATTCGCAAGGTGGAAGGAGGCAGTTGAGAAGGGCAAGGCGGAATCGACGCCTTCAGAGACGAGCCCGACTTCAACCTCTGTTGATGATGTCGTCGCACACAGCGTTACTTGAATGGTGGCATACTACGGGGTTTGGTTGGATTAAGATGAGGGGCTTTCCTGAGTGTCGATCATTACTGTAGTATGGTTTATCTTTACAATGCTTCGACGTGGCAGTAGCACTACTACTACTTCTTCTCCCTCTATCGCCTCGTATCATCCGACCTCCATTGCTTTAACTCGGGTATCTCTATCTGCTGTACATATGTTTCTGACGGCACTGACTGACGAAGGCTTTTTCCAATCTGCAGTTGATGGGCCGATGCTGTTGTGGAAGGCCTCAGGAGAGTGTCGGGGAATATTGGGCATTTTGGCTGTACCGGAAGAAGGGAATTATCAAAAAGTGGCTTCACTGAAGGTGACAGCAGACAAATGGGAAGGCCCTATCGAGAGAGATGCTCTCACTACCATCTTGGTGTATCTTGCTTCTGGTCTTACTGTCACCAATTGTGTGGATACAGCGCTGAAGGCGAGGAGGGATCCGAAAGTTGGTGGCTACTTGGGGGTGGGATCAACGAGAACAATTCCAAGGCGGGTGAGGCCGGAGCTTGAGCGTAGGGAGAGGAGGGTCTTCTCCACTGTACGGAATGCCGAGATAGGAGGATGGAGGAATGCGATCGAAGCCGACATCCTGGCGGCTACTGTCGGGTTTGGCAGTATTAGACCCATCTGGTGTCCACTGTGTCAAACAATGTGCGATAAGATAGGCATGTTCGCTGAGCACATCGTGAGTGATAATCATCGTAAGACTTTACAGAGAGTGCTCAATGAGGGTCCAACGGTTCGGGCGTTAACAGCAGAGATCAGACAAGATAGCGGCAGTAAGGCTGTCCTTGCTAGGGTTGATCTTATTGGCAATTATGTTGTGCCCGAAAGGTAATGCTACTTTGAGGTGAGTGTTAGAGGTTGATGCTGGGATATTTCAGGAACGTGGTGAAGATGGAGGAGGTAGCGGTTAGAGAGTCGGAGCTGGTGAGGAGGCTGCTCTCACTCATGGGCCCGAGTGATAGGTGATCAGGTCGTTAGCCATCCCCAGGGGAGGAGTTCTTCAATGGAGGTGGATTCACCGAGGTGTGGTATTCCAAGTGATGTTCGCAAAAGCAAAGTGGAGCCACCAATTGTGGTAATAAGAGGTATAGGGATCACTATCAGTGGGATGTCATTTCTCAGGATACGGAAGCTGACGAGGATGATGATGACGAAGATGATGATGACGACGTATCTATTATGAGCTTGAACTAGACGACGTATCTTCGCGCAGTATGGATATTTCTCATATATCTGTTCCTAGTTGAGCAATTGTGTGTACCTTATTGTGGTTCCCTCTCTTCCTAGTTGGTCTCTTCTGATGTTCTTTAAGAAGACGGCAGTTGGCCGACCGGCTCCGACTAAGAATATCTTTGATGAGATTGATGATGAGGGAGGACAACAGAGCTCTCCAGCTGACAATGGTGATTCCCCAAGGGAGGGATATTATTCTTATCGTTCCTATTAGTATTAGGAGCCACAACAGAACAGCAACAGTCTGGAGCAACAACAACGGAGGTTGACCCCTTGGATGCCTTCATGGCTGGCATCGAGACTGAGATTGCGAGAGACAAGGCGGCTACCGACAATGTAGCTATTTGGCTACTACAATGGCTCGTCATTGCTTGGATTCAGCAACGGCGTGTATCGTATGGAAATGACGAGGAGATCATGGGTGATGATGACGAGGAGACTGCGGTGGAGGCATTCGAGAGGCGGAAGAAGGTACTGCGGAGGCAGGCCTGGCTCATGCTGTTGGATTTTATGGCGCAGTGACGGTGTATATGGCTAGGGCTGATGCCTCACTTGTGGTAGGAAGCCGGCATGAGTTTGGGCAACACGGGAGGTTCGGATGAGGATGATGCCGACACGGGAGTGCTGCCAGAGGATGAGGTCCTGGATCGTCGGAAGAAGGCAGTAGACGCATTACCACCAGTAGAGCATGAAGGCAATGAGTATCCCATCGTATACAGGTCAGTAGTGCTGCTAGTCATAGCTTTCTGGACTATCATCGTCAGATGGCCCTACAAGCCGCATCCGGAGGTGACCAAAATGACGGAGGCGGAAGTGAGAGCCTTCAATAAGGAGAAGTTCATATCAGCAACGGGTCGAGCTGTAATAATACCTCTGCAGTGAGCGCTGCCTTACCTGCCTTATAGGTGCCTAGAGCGGTGGCTACCTTTGAGCAATGCTGTCCACCATTGGCTGTGAAGGAAGCGCTTAAGCACGCTAAGTTCGAAGTGAGTATGGGCGATCATATTCATGCCACACTTAAAGTGTGACAATTTCTCCTTTAGAAACCTACGCCCATCCAATGTGTGGCTATTCCGGCAGCATTGTCAGGTAGAGATGTGTTGGCTATTGCAGACACGGGTGAGTTAGTGTAGTGGTTAAGTTATGTGCTATTCAGTGAGAGGTCGTGAGTTCGAACCTCTCTGCTGTAACTCTTGTGATGCTATTTAGGCAGCGGGAAGACTCTCGCCTACTTGATGCCTTTAATCATGCATATCATCTATCACAAAGAACATGCCGATCTGGCTGATAGACCGGCCCCCACCAAAGACCATCCGGCGTGCCCGTTCGCATTGGTAGGACTAATACGATGGGCGTTGACCTTTCAGCGGTTACCACTGGCAGGTTTTGTGTCCGACTCGGGAGCTGGCAGTGCAGATAGAGAAGACCATCTACAAGTTGGGGAAGTATATCGGAATCACAAGTGATGACACAAAAGGGGACAGCTCCGCACAATGGTATCTTACATGTGTGTTCAATAAGGCACTACCCTTGCTGGAGGTCTATCGAAGTATGAACAATTCAAAGACCTCAGGAAGGGCACTTGCGATATCGTTGTGGGGAATCCGGGAAGGTGATTGGAAGCATTCCTTCACAACATCATGTTGGATAGTTGCTCCTCATCAGATGCATTGACATGGTCAAAGAGCATGGCATGTCGCTCACTGGGGATACAGCGTGGGTTGTTCTAGATGAGGCGGACAGGATGCTTAATATGGGATTCGAGAACCAGGTAGGGCGGAGCGAAGCGATTCGCGAATGGCATGTTTCGATTCATTCGAGGTCCGCAGTCTAGTGCAGAGGGTTCGGCCTGATCGGCAGACTATGTTATTCTCGGCGACCATGCCACCCAAGATTGAACGCCTCGCTAGATACATCATGCAGTAGGTTATCCAACCAACGTGCATGTGGGTTGAGGTGACACCCCTCTTCTCAGAGACCCTGTGAGGTTGTTCGTCGGAGCTAGTGCTACCACGGGTGGTGCAGCCCAAGCCGTCACGCAGGATGTGGTGGTGGTCGAGGAAAAGGACGACAAATTCAACTGGCTCTCGGAGAATCTGCCGCACATTCTGGATGATGCCCAGGAGGAGGTAGGTGTGGTTATTTGTGCGTGCGTGCAACTCGGTTGCCATTCAGGATGGGCAAGTGTTGATATTCGTGAATCAAAAGTCTGGCGCGTCCGAGCTGGCAGTGGCCATACGAGAGTTCATGTCGCTACCTTGCGAAGCGTTACACGGCGACTCTGATCAGAACGACAGGATGAAAGTAGCGAACTTGGTTTGGGCAGTAGAAAATAAAAGAGATGATTTCTTATCTGGAAATTATACGGTTTACCATGCGCATAGGGAACTCGGGATTTGAAGCGCTGGGGATCTTCCCGTCCTGGTCTTGATGAGATCAATGCTCGAGTGCTGGTCATCGGCTGCTATGCTTTAGATAATGGCAGACTTCCGGTCCCGTAAGACGAAGGTGTTAGTAGCGACGGATGTGGCTAGTAGGGGTCTGGATATACCAGCTGTGAAGGAGGTTATCTGTTATGATATGTCAAGTAAGGAGTAGGGGGAGTGTATTTTGAGCTTATCTTGGGTAGATACCCTCACCACACACACGCACAGGTTGGGTAGAACTGGACGAGCTGGTCATACAGGCCATGCTACAACTCTGTTGGTGAGGAAGGATAATTCGGCTAAGATGGCAGCCGAGTTAGTTGAGTTCATGGAGAAGTCCAAGCAGGTGAGTACTTGGAAGGCAATAGGAAGTATGAGTATGTCTTTTTAGGCTGTTTCTTCAGCTCTTATGGATTTTGCTTTGGAGTTCCCACCCTTTGCTGGTAGGCCAGTATCGCAGAGAGCTCTACTTCTACTCAAAGATGTCTCTCAGCCGCTCGAGAGCTTGGTCACAGTGCTGCCAAGGGTTTGCGTAGAGCTGCCGTGGCTGGGGGTCCGCAACAGCGACATGGCCTAGGGTATTCGGAAGCTCGTGGAACGAGTATGAGTTCGGGAGTTGGAAAGAAATTCGTAGGAATAGCCTCGTGGAATCATGAGAGTAGTGAGGTTGACTCTGCAGATATCTTCGCACTCGCAAGAAGATACTGCTAAGAAGGCAGTCGTTATTGGTGGTGATGTGGACCTCAATGGTAAGCGTTTGATAGTTGTCTTGCTTGCAATACATCTCGTTGTGGCTGGTGTGCGGAAATCTCTTGTTTGATGTAGCCTGCGATGACGATGACATTTACGCACCTGGTGTTAAGCGAGCTTTTGGTGACCGCAATGTGGCCAGCCGTACAGTTGGCTTGGCTCAATTCCCTTCATTAGGAAAGAGAGGTAACATCTCTATTGCGGTATCGGGCCGCCCACAACATATGGATGTCAGGTAGGGACGATGGTGGACGTGAAGAGCATAAAGATAAACGCGATAGGAAATCCAAGTGGGACTGAGCGAAATTGTTTCTCTAACGGAACAGGCGTCGAGTTTAGCATTGGAGGTGGCTGGAGCCGTAATTCCCCAGTGGTTGTGAAATTTTCATTCATAATGATGTCGTCACTGTGCATGCCCATAAGATTGGGCGCGGGTTCGATTGTACCTACCGGAATCCGCTCTCTCTCGACCAGTGCAAGACAGTTGCCCGAGTTCAACGAAGCATTGAAGTTGGTAGAGGCTAAGAAGTGGCAGCAAGCGGGAGTTTTGATCCAACGATGTGAGCTCGGGAGCAAACAAGCTATGGTATATTTCGCAATGCAACTGTTGTCGTTATCTTTAGGTCATGATGTGTTTAGCCCAGCACGTATGGTAACAGAAACAGCTCTGTGTGACATGTTGGCTGGAATAGCTCAATGGTAAGACCTCTTCTTTGGATGATGCCATTCCTCGTCCAGGCATGATGGTTACCTTACGAGTGCTGTAGAGTCCTTCACCAATGCCAATAGTGTCGATACCCTCGGAGAGACCTTCTCCCAGTTAGCATTGCGTGGCATTGTTGCTTCCAAGACAGAGATTGGGCTAAAGGACGGTATCCCTGCGGCCAGCGCGGTGGTGAAAGATCAGTAAGAGGTGGTCTACTCCTGGAATGCCTCTTTCTCACTCGTCTTCGGTAATTAACGTCGCTTTGTAACCGAGCGGTAATCAGATGCAGCACGCAGAGGGGTTGGTTGAGTATATCTAACTTGTTCATGCCCGGAGTAGGTGTATTAGGAAGATCAAGACTATTGCATGTTCAGTTGTTTCGATGCACCACTGGTACAGCAATGTAAAGATGCGCATACGAAGCTCGTGGAGAAGGATGATGCTGCACTTAAATTGTGCGAGGCAATCCCGAACGAGGAGATCAAGAAGACGTAGGCATTTCGAAGAAGACGTAGATTCGCAAGATTGTGGTCCTCTCCAATGCATATCCGTGGATGACTTTCTGCTATGTGCAGATATGTTGCTCGAGCATTGGTGGCGAAAGGTGTCAATTTCGAGGTCGAAGGCAATGCTGTTATGGCGGAAGCGATGTTCAAAGCGGCTGTCGATGAGTAGGCGACTTCGAATCGATCAGATGGGCGAGCGCGAGCTGCAACGATCTTTTCTTAGGGTATTGACGACGGGCCATGTCGGGAATGAATTGATAAGGATGCGCGACTTGTCTGAGTTCGGCGCTGTGGTATCGTATTGTGATTTACTGAAGATGTGGGAGAAGAGGGAAGGAGAAGGAGAGAGGGCGTGGAATGGGTAAGACTCATGATGATGGGGACTACCAACAGGCGATCCATCGTGGTCGTTTTAGATATGTCGAACGTATTGGGAAGGAGCGTGCGGAGAAGTTGGATGCTCTTTACCCCAGTGCATTGGATTTGTTCATTCCACCTCCTCCGAGTGTTTCTGAGCTCCTCCAAGCTACTGAAGTTTAGATACATTTGGTATCAAATTGTTTAACAATCGATAATACTGTTTGAGTTGCGTAATACTCCTAGTCAGCCATCCCTACTTGACAGTCAGTCGTCTCTCAGCTGAACTCCCTGTCATGCCGACCAAAGCCATCCCGTCGGCGTTCGACACTTTACCCCCAGTTACAGGGGCTGCGGTCGTGACTGCCTTCGCGATGTACCCGGTGGATATCGTCCGGGCCTTGGTGATGGCCCAAGCTTCGGGGCAACGCTCGTCCGTGTCGACCTTGGTTAAGAACTTCTATCAGACTCATGGCGCATCCGGCTTCGTCTCAAAAGGGTTGGGTGCAGAGATGATGCGTGCAACCTTCTCCAGAGTTATCAAGTTCTGGCTGCAGCCAATTTTTCATCAGAGGGTCTTCAACGCCAAACAGAAGGACGGTACCCCGTTCTCGAAGGGTGTAGCGGGTTCGCTTGCTACCATACCCGAAGTCATTGCCATATCACCATTCGAGAATGCCAAGTTGGCTCAGCAGTTGGATGCTGAAGGGAAGTTCAAAGGCACTGCTGATACTATGAGGTAGGCGTCGACTCTAGCATTATGCTGTTGATAATATCGGCCTCAGGCATCTGGTTCGTACGCGAGGAGCAGTTGGCTTGTATATCGGCTATACGGGTATGCAACTTCGTCAGATGCTTTGGACGGGAGGCTACTTTTTCTCATTGGATATATTCCGCGAACAAACTGATAAGGTCCTTGGTCGCGGTAAAATGTCGGACACGGCGAGCGGGTTCTGTGCTGGTGTATTTGGTACGGCCTTGAACTGTTGGTGTGATGTGGTTCGTACAGTCATCCAGAAACAAGCAGTAGCCGAGACTTTCAATCCCGAGATAGTCCGTCCCCCGCTCACTCCTGGATACTTTATCTCTGGTGTCACCGACATGTTTAAAACCGCGGCTGATATAGCAGCCAAGAGGGGTATTGCAGGCCTCTATTCAGGCTTCTTGGTGAAGTCTTGTTATCTTGGCGGTTCGGGAGCCTTCCTTGCAGTACTCGTACCACGCTTCAAACACATGTGGGGATGTCCTCTGGATTAGTCTATTTTTGGTAGTCGATACCGTCAATCGGTTAGCTCGCGTAGGAGATCATATTAGCGTTTCTGAAGAGGTCACGATTTGAGTTCGTTTTCAATGGTGCGGTTTTTGCATGTACCGCGTTATGTTCACGTGAAGGGCCTGTCGAGTTTACTGCCGTGTGTTGAGAAGAAAGAACCATTACGTGGTTAGGGAGGCTGGACGACCCAAAGCCGATGTCGAACAATTCCCTGAGAAAGTTTCCTTCACCTGAGGCCAAGTGGAAACTCCTAAGGTTCACACGTGAGACCGAATGATGGTGAGCCAATTCTCGCATTCAGAACGGGGCGTGTATCATACTGGCAGTCAGTCGTGGGCGTAGCGAAGTGAACGTCAGCGGCCGATTCTGGCGGTACCGCGATATGGACCGTAAAGAAATCGATGAATGATATGTTTATGTGTCTGTGTTACTTTTCTCGTGCCAATCGACTATCCACGAAGGGTGTTGGGTAGTCTGGGAGGTACGTGAATCCAATGGCTGGGACGTCATTATTTGGCTATCTCCAGTATCAGTACTTTGACGAATGCCTCTCGATAAGTATGCCCAGGAATGGTGTCAACGTCATACGAGACGTCTACGAGAGAAGTATGGTGCTCATCAGTCACAAGCTTCGAAGAAGCATATCTCATGTGATGATAATAAGATAAGTATTGAGCCGATGCAGGCTTACAGTGAGGCTTATCGGAGCTGCCTACAGCATATTGATAGACTCAGAAATGATATGAAAAAGTGATATGCATGCTCACGATGTCTTCAAACACCACCACGTTAATATTCTTGCCTTTAGTTCGATAGTTGACGAGGAATTACCGCTTCCCTCTCTTGCGGTTCTATCTGCGGTCCTGGCGGCCTTGGCTTGCCGCTACCTTGGGAGTAATGAAATCCGCGTTGCTGCTGGCGTATCTTACCATTCCGAGAAGCTATTAATAAGCGTAAATAGATGACGTGTAGGAATGTCATGGGCACGCATCGTAAAGTGGTCCGGACTGTCCCATAAACTGCATTGCTTCTCAACTACGTATTTTTCTGATCCCCACAGGCCAGTTGTTGAAGTTAGTATGCTATATCTGATCTTGGTCCATTGGAACTCAACAGAGTCTTCTGACAGGGTGAGATGGCAGCAGCGATCGCCAGACTATAGAGTGGCATGGATAGTTGAAGACAGAGGAGACCATTCGGCCTGCGGCGGAGGGAGTTGGAAATTTATTTCTTCATTGCCATTCTTGCTTTCCTCATCTACATGATTGACAGTTTTGGATTAAGTGTGAAATAACCTCTGTTGTGTTTTCATGTGATCGGATTATAATGCCACAGCACACGTCTAGAACGACGCCAACGCCAATGAGAATAGCCATCAGCCAGAAGTGGTCGTCATCGTATGGATAAAAGATTGATGAACGATCCTCTGAAACAGTGCGGGGGTCTAGAATTAGACAATGATGAGGATAGGAGCGAATTTTCATTTTATACCACACCACCGACGTGCTGTTGTCACTTGGCAAGGGAAAAGGCCGATCTTCAGCTACTGCGATCTATACTCCGGGGGTGCTACCCCGCCGCACTGCACTGATAAGTAATGATGAAGGCGATTGATGTATTCCTGTCTAGGCTCGAGAGATCAGAGTCCCATTATTGGCTGATGGAGCCTGAACATGTTACTTGACAGTATTCAACTTCGTCTGGACAAAACCTCGAATCTTAACCGATCCTGCTGCCGTCACACCGAAAAGCTCGTTTGTGCAAATCTCGCTCGCCCGAATGATCGATTATAGCTACAGTGTTGGAGTGACCAACCGTTGCCAACAGTCGCTGAAGGGTCCGTCATGGTTACCGTTCCTAAGACTCGCAAGACCTATTGCAAGCGTTGCAAGAAGCATACCGGTCAAAAGGTAATATCTGCATACATGTGTCGGGGTATACTATGATCCCTATCGTCGATCGTATTGTTCTTGTTGATGTTGATAGTAATATGTTTAGGTTACCCAGTACAAGACCGGTAAGGCTTCCTTGGTCGCCCAGGGTAAGAGGCGTTACGATAGTAAGCAGGCCGGTTTCGGAGGTCAGACCAAGCCTGTCTTCCGTAAGAAGGCTAAGACTACTAAGAAGATCGTCCTTAAGTTGGAGTGCACCAAGTGCAAGTGCAAGCGTATGATGCCCATCAAGCGTTGCAAGCATTTCGAACTCGGCGATAGCTCTAAGAAGAAGGTAATAATATATTTCAACTGTAGTTACAGTGTGGATGATGTCTCTTCAGGCCGAGGCCGCCTTGTACGGTAAGAAGCGATAAATCTGTAGGCAGCTTGCTATTGACTGGTCCGCTTCAGTGATGTTTCCTTTTGTCTTGTGTTACTAGTCATTATTCAAAGGATAGTATCTCAGTCCCAATGACAGACCAGTCTGATGGGTCCAAGTCGGTTGGGGATAATCAATATGGGGAGGAAGAGAATGATAAGACTATAAGCACATTCGAGTGTCCAATCTGCTTGAGGCTTCTTGTCGAGTAATACCATCCAACTGTTCCAGTGCTTCATAAAAAGCGTATGAAACCATAGTCTTGGATAGCTCTAGAGTCTTCAATTACGGATTATCCCTTTGGGACTTGTTTGTCGTGTAGGCCGGTTACCACGGCCTGTGGGCATACATTTTGTAAAAATTGTATCACTAAAACGATGGATCATCGGCAACTCTGTCCGGTAATACTGCGTAGTATCTACCAAACTAACCTCTACCTACTTATACTTGTTAGTCATGTCGAGCGCCATGCCCTTTCATAGGAAGCACGAACGTAATGGTTGCCAATTTGATACAACAAAGGTGGGTATTACAGGCCAGGAGGGACTCAGAAAAGGTTTATGTAGATTGGTCGATAATAGATATCCAGAGGAATATGCTCTACGTTCGAAAGAAGTGAAAGAGCTCGAGGAGGAAGAAAAGGCTCAGAGCGATACCAGTGATGGCACCGCTTTGGGGGTCTTCTTCCCCTTTTTACGGTACTAGAATTGCATATTCTTAGTATGGCCTGTATGGAGGCTACCTTCTTAGGTTGCCGCATGAGAATGTCCCCTTCCCCTATGGTAATCGACAGGCCTTCCAAGTGCTTGATGAGGAAGTCAATGCAGCTAGAGCTATATGGAGAGGAGGAGCTGCTAGGAGCGTCGTAGTCCAGATGGAAGGTAATGGGAGGCGAGATGGTAGGGACAGTAGGATATGATTGCAGAGGATGGAGCTAGCGTCGGCCCTGCAGTCTTGGGGGAGATATCCCAGGTAAGGGGAAATCGTATCTGGTTTATTGGTCGAGGACGAGTTGAAGGACTCAATGGAGGAACATGTAATATTAGCTATGGTGTTGTGGCCGACTTTGGGGGTAGATACGAATACATCGGGCTTTGAAGTAAGGAAGTATAGTACGAATGCGATAAGGGACAATGTTGATGACGACCAACGAGAAGATATCATCGGAGTTGGTAGGCATTGGTGACTTTGGCACCCTATTGGACTCTCAGTGTTGTAGCTGAGTCGTGCCTTACTATGCTGTATGATGATCGTCTACCAAGACTTGGTCAAATGGGAGTCAATAAATTCAATCATTTGCATGACAACAGGTCAAGGCCGACCAGAGGGCAATTGTAAGGCATTCTTTTGGCTGTAGGGTGGAGGACAGGCGGTATCGTTGGTTTCAGAAATGCTATGGACTCTCTGCAGCTGGAGAAGTTATCCTTCTGGTTGTGCTCGTGTCTTAAGGCCCCACTCAGTCTGCGGGTAGGGTGGCTACGGACCCGAGATACAATGGGGCGGTTGCAGTCGATAAGGGATTATATGGGTAGTAGTCCGAGGTCGCAAGTTCGAACCAGAGCGGCGGCATTTTAGGTAATGCTGGTGCGAATCAGATTATAAACTTGGAAGAGGATGCGGCTGGAGGGTCTGTAGGCTCCTTAAGAGGTATCAGTTGGAGCCTGATCTTGGTAAGATAGCGAAGTCGTGAGCTCGTTAACTTGTCGCTCCATTGTATTTGATTCCATTCCCTCAACAGTTACTCGCTATTTTCCTGGCCTTGTTCTTGAAGTATAGCGGAGTATTAGACGTCCAATATGGAGAATATCTCATCGGATAAAACTACAGTAGCTCCTCAGGATTGAGCTCTCGAAGGTTACTGATGATATGTCACTTTTGGTTTTATTGCCCAGTGTAACATTCATCTTTCGTCTCTGCTATCGTGTTGGTGTTCTCGACTATATGGCCTCATTAGTTGAGTATGAGATGTCTTTTCAAACCTCGTTATTATTGCACGCTCCTCACTGCTCGTCGACTGACAGTGGCAGCATTAGAGAGGCAAGGGATCCCTGTCGTTAGGATAGCGCAGGGGACAGCTGCTCATCAGAAGCACTATGTCCATCGTAATCTCATCCTTAACTGGGATCAACTCTCTACACTGGATGAGAATGCACCAGTCATGTGCGGCATCAGTGTGGCTGGCAAGGCGGAAGTTGTTGGTTGGGGTATGCTCACAACAGGTCCTACTGCTAGGTCTTTTGCTCTGAGGGTAATGCATGATACAACACTGGACGGCTCTCTTGGTGCTGATCCCTTTGGAGATCCTCTGGAGGCTATCTCACAATGGTTCGCTGGAAGGCTAGTACAGGCAATGGCTGCACGCATGCACATGTTGGATACATCCATCCGGCGCTGTTATCGGTTATTGAACTATGAAGGTGACGGGTTGACTGGTGTTGCCTTGGATGTCTATGAGCATATAGCGGTGGTCTACGTGAGTGCTCAGTGGGTGTGTTTGGAAGGATTGAAAGAGAGGTTAGAGGGAATAGTCCTTGGAGAAGTACCGCAAGTCGAGCGAGTCCTGTGGAGATTCCGTCGCGATCTACTTGCTGCTGATGGCGGTGGCGGCGATGGCGATGGCGAGGCGAAATCTGATGATTCGGTGATTCTCACAATCGAGGAGAATTCGTTGAAGTTTTCCGTGGAGGTTGGTGGTGGGAAGAAGACTGGATGGTTCTTAGATCAATCCGACAATCGGAGGAAGTTAATGGAGTATGTTAGGATGAATAAAGTGGACAGTGTTGCTGATCTATGTTGCTATACGGGTGCTTTTGCCATTCATGCTGCAGCTGGTGGAGCAAGGAGAGTAGTTGGTGTGGACATCCAGGAAAAGAGTATAACCAATGCGAAGGTCAATGCTGACCTTAATGGGAATAATATTGCTTCTAAGATCGATTGGCTCACATCAGACGTAGGGGATTTCTGTCGTAATGGAGGTACCGAAGAATTCGATCTGATCATCCTGGATCCTCCGAATATCGTAAAAGGTGGTCGCGGTGATGACCACGGTCTGCGGGCACTCCGCAAGCTTACTGAACTCAGTCTTGGTAGAATTAATAAATCGAAAGGAGGCTGTCTGTGGGTATTCAGCTGCTCTCATGAGTTGTCGAAAGAGGGAGTGTTAGAGGAAGTAGTGGGAGGTGCTGCAGTGCGATCCGGCAGAAGAGTAAGAATCGCTGAGCAGTTGGGAGCTAGTGTCGACCACATGTACTCTCCCTATCACGCTAATAGCAAGCACTTGAGAGGCCTTGTGGTCATGGTTGAGCCCGAGGCAGCAGCGAAGTGCAACAGTCACATGCAGTTCCAATGAATGTTTCTGATAAACGTAGTAGTGGTGTTAGTGAACTCCGAATTCAAGTCACTGAATTCGCTTGTGAATAGGTGATCGGAATGTTGTTACCGCGATGGAAGCGGCCATCGTCTTTTCCTGGATCCGATCGTGCTGCTGCTGCTGCCGCTGAGGTGTGTGATGGTCCTTCGTAATCCATTATCTAGCACTGTTGAAGGTCCAAGCTGACAGCCTTAGGGGAACAATGCCCGGTATTGCATTCTGCGTTCCGAACGAGGAGGGCGCATTGCTGCCGCCAGCGGATCATGGGGCTTACCCCCTCACAGATAGACTCAGGATGGCGGTTTTGAGGGTCTTGAAATTCCTTGGCCGTTGTAGCACATTGGATGGACTCGCTGATTTACAACAGAGAGCTATGCAGTCGGCGGAAGGGTTGCGGAGTCTGAGCCCTCCAGGTGAATGATTGTATGTCCCTGCTGTACTTCTGTGCTACCAGGTAGATGGTTAGAGGTATCCATCCTGAGCCTTGATTGGCATCCTCAAGCGCTGGTAGCCTTACGGGTCCCCCCTCTTGTACTCAGAGAGGCGGCGAGACCAACAACCTCCACAAGGCGATTCACAGTCAGGATCCATACGCTGGACCTCGAAAGGTAGATTATATTCGGGGCCGTGCCGAGAATTGAACTCGGGACTTCTCGTACTCTGAGCGGAATTCTTACCACGGAAAACACTCATGGTATTGCGGGAATACCAATCAGTGCCATCGTTCGTTCGTCTGAGGGATCACTAGATCAGTGTAATAAGTACACTTCTCGGGCACCTTGGACTAGACGGAAGGCGAAAGGTTCGGAATTCGGTAACGTGGAAGGAGCCTGTAGGCTGGCGCTTCGGAAAACATCTTTTTAATGATCCAGCAGATCTCATTCCGGGGGAGTAGTCAATGCTGTCGTCCGATGTCATCGATAGTACTCCCTCAGAGGTCTCCGCTACATGAGAAGTGTAGAGAGCCGCAACCGTCAACGACAGGTTCTCAAGCCGTCGGTCTCCTTATAAACAGTGGCTGCATTCAGGCTGTTGGCGAGTCGAGCCTCACAGTACCAATACTCCACACCGACCCTGTCCATTTCTCCAAGTGCTGCATCCGTCATCCTGAGGTGGCGTACGAAAGCTTACAAATCAACCAGAGTCTACAAATCCCCGAGCCGGACGTCAATCAGGGTCCGCCTATCCCTTGGTTCGAGTATTATTACAAATCGTTGCCCAGCACCTGGCTCGTTTTTCCTCTTTGAATTGCTGGTTGATGATGGCAACCATGATAGCATGACGTCGGTTGCGTGGACGAGCTTCGCTCCGCTCTTACAAGGTGCTTTACCGCAGACGCCTGTGAGGTGAGCTTCCCAGTACTCGAGGTCGTAGTTGGACACGAACGTTCAGGCTGATGATGTATCATACGAGATTTCGTGGCTACAAGGAAGCCCCCAAGGAGGCACATGAATGCCCCGATCGAGCGTGAGGAAATTGTCCCACCATCGCCAGGTGCGTCGCGGCCAGTTACGATGTCGCCTCGCCAGTAAAGCATCCAATACCTGGGTTGATGCTTACAGTGAGCTTCCGAGTCACACAGGAACAATCGGGCGATGGCGGAACAGGGATGAAAAGAAGCTCAGAACTCCCATTAGAGAATACCTCACCCAAGCGGACGGACGGCGGGCCGCCAACCCAGTCAACGAACTTGATAGGTCGTGGCTATGCAAGCACTGATAATCTAGCAGGCAGGGTTTGACGTCACTCAGAGCACTTTGCGAGGAGCTCCAACCATGGTGCTGCTCTGCCTTATGATACACATATTGGTACCATCGAACTCGATAATGACGATCGAGGGGCACTCCGCATTAGTCTGTCTCCCGATAACAAGTATGGCTACTATCACAATAATATCGATTTTAAAGACGTCTGCGGTAGATATGTGGCAGTCGCCCGACAAGGCATACACGATGTGACTGGACTTGCTATATATTCACTCGAGAGACCGTGTGAAGATGGGCCTCTCATTGAGGCCGCCGACCGATGCCTCCCAGGCCAGGTATAGACCAGGCCCACTAGCCCGTCCTGTCCCTCCCCCTCCAAGGTCTTAGCTATGCTCTGGCCGCAATCTGATACTCTCATTACGGCTGGAAGTGATGGCCGTGTTGTGGTATGGGTCGTAGAGAGCTTATACATACCTAGAGAAGGAGGAGACCATCCTTGCATACACCCATCAGCTGAGCTTGCTCATTCTGGGCCGGTAGTGCTGAGAGCTGTGGTGTCATAAGCATGTACGTCATGGAGGTACTTGCTCTCTCGTACTGGAGTGTGGACTCTGGAGCATGGCGCATCGTTTCCTGTGGCGAGTTCGGCATACGCTTGTGGACAGCCGCTCAGACCTGTATTAGACTAGACTCACCAGGAAAGCCACTCGCTCGGCCAACATGTCTCGATCGTAGCTCCGTCAGCTCGGTGAGTGGACAAACACCACCATGTAGAGTATCCCCCTCAGCTACTGTATGCTGGCAATGTGGATGGGGGTATCACCGCATACGACACTACTAGAGGCACACCGGAGGCGATTGGATCCTATGGGCATCCAGACATACTCGGGGTGGAGGAGGAGGAAGAGGAGGAGGGCTAAACTCGAGGCTCTGCTCATGACAGTATTGCAGGTACCGGTGTGGCATATTCGAGTCGTAACGTCTGAGGCAGCCTCAACTGGGCTCAGTCGAATTAATGCTACATTATCGAGGAAATTTAAACATAAGACTGAACACGATATCCTCCTCATAACTATGGCCGACTCCACAGTGAGGCATTGCTTTCATACTTCCTTAGGCCATGGCTTTCTAGATTCGTATTGTAACTGTACCTCGGGAGACTGCTGCTGACGCTAGAGACATGATGACCCTCACACTCATTATGACACTACGAGGAGCCTCAATCGTCGACAGTATACCTCGACCAGATATGAGCCCTGATGGAAGGTGGGATGATGACCACCATCACTGTGAGTAGAGTGTGATAGGTTGGTGGTATGTGGGAGTTCCAATGGTCAACTACACCTATGGGATATAGGTCATCATGGAAGGCCCATCGACAAAGGTTATCTACAGGTCAATTAGATCTGACTAGAGTGAGGCGCGTAATTCTCCTATCAGGTGGTCGTACCGGGTATCATCGCTGACGTTGTGTGGTCCCGGACACATCATGTGGTCATTTGCGCACCGTAAGTGGATCAATGTATGCAAGATGTAGCAGCCGTCATAGAGCATCACCTCCTACCATGGACAACATATCGGTGCCTGGTCTCATCCTGTTGGGTTCATCCATGGCAGAGGCCAATCCCAGGACTTCCTCACCAGTCCTGTCAACGCGTTCATCACCACGGCGGGGAAACCTTATCGTAGGATTGAATGTGAGCCGGCACTCACCTGGATACCTGCTCGACCTCAGGAGCCTCAGGATACGATAGATGTGGACGATGAAAACTGGCATATCAGATGGATAGAGTCGGACCATGCTCTTGGGAGGGAGGCAACTCGAATTGTGAGTCCCATCTACAGGACATGTCAGCCTGCGTTGAATATTCGAATATGCTGATTGTCTGAAAATGCATCCAAGGAAATCGTAAACATATTCATGGATTTCAGTTGAAGACGAAAGTGTTGGAAGAAGCCCGACTGGAGCAGCGCCAGTCTCGTCCGAGGAATAGCCTAACCACGGCGTCCGTTCCGTCATAGAGCCAAATTGGCTCAGCCAATGAGGCATGTCTATTATACCCATGTGTGACTAGTGATCTCGATTTACCTCATCACAGTGCCCTCGTTGTGTTTGAGTGAGGGATGGTTGGATAGATTACGCCTTGTATTAATTAACTGCTGTCGTACCCACTCAAGCGACATCAGCGAAGGGAATGGAATCGGACGGCACAATCGAATACAATACAACCTGTACTTGAGATGCTAATCCAAATTAGGGATGGAGTTTGAGACGGATAATCTCGATCTACACTGCCGCTCACAAATAACATTCCCCATCGGATCCACTATAATATCTTCATCTTGATAACAACATTCTGCGTTGATTAGCCTCTCCCAGATAGTGGTGACGAAAGAGCGGTACTCGTAACTCAAAACTCATTGTTCATCCACGAAATACTTTAGGCAACTTCGAGGTATCCCGAAGTCGACAGGCCACTAAAGCTTCATCAACAGCAACGATTGGTGCATCGGTAGCCTCCATCAGAGTCAGCATCGACCTTTTCGATTTCTCAAAGTACTCTTCTGCCAAACGCCATTGTCGTCCCCGAGCCAGTGATGCTGCTACTTTCGTCAGAAGAGATTCCATGAACCCCGCTCCGGACTCGACGTAGTAGCCCGGGCCGATCTCCTTCTTGAACAGCTCGGCAGCATGATCGACAACTGCTAATACATCAGCAGTCTCATTCTTGATCATTTCCGAAGAGGCATCCATATCAACGAGTTTGGATATATGAGCCTTTCGGATCATCCACACAGCAGCATGATGGACCCCCAGGATACGAGGCATTGACCGTAAATGCTGCGACAGTTCGAACTCATCGAGCTCATCAGCATTACGAGCAATATCCATTAGAGAATCCTCGAGATCCTCTGGTACACCACATTGTTCCTGAGTAATCTGAGCTCCACAAGAACTGCACAACCACTGATATTCATCCCGTTCGACTCGATAGATAGCTCCCTTATATAGGACTCTGGAGAGATCCAAATCGGCGGGATCTATGAGTCTAACCTCAGCATCTTCAACCCAATCACCCTTCCTAGGGGAGCAACTCGGACAGGGTAATCCACGATAGTAGTCAACGCCAGTACACAGAGGACAGTCACAATAGAAGACGTAGTTGTTGAGTAGTAGTTGTCGCCTCATACAAGCCGGAGCAACAGTATCGATATAAGAAAACCGTAGCTCCGTATTGGCCGGTAAGTCCGTGAGGGCCACAAAACTGCCATCATGGGAAGCACCCCGTTGACTGGAGTAAACCACGTTAGGAGCACATGAATGTCGCATCTTACTGCCAAGTTCATAGAGAGCACATGCAGTAACGTCAGATTCGATATAAAAAGCATGAGCATTCGTAGCCTTAACCAACACGACCTTCTTCAGCTCCTCAGCACCATCATCCAATGGTAATCCAATCCAACTCCGAAGGGCTCCATCCTTGCCACGATGTAGCTCCTCCATGATTGGATCACATATCCGTATCAATGCCGACAAAAGTGGTGACTCTGATACTTCAGCTTTGCTCGGGTGATAACAATCTAATACTCTCTTACGTTCGACCAGAGACAGAGCAACATAAGCCTTGAGAAATAGGAAATCCTCGAGGACACTGAGGCCGAACCTCGATCCAAGTATTGAAGCGAACACTTCTTCACGCCGTGTAAGGTCTCTCTTCTCAGCTGAGTGGACTATTGGTTTTTCACTCCATATCAAATCCCCCATTGAAACATGAGTAGTCGTCCGCAATACCCGCCCATAAGCCTCGGTGTCCAACACCTCAACCTGACTTCGCCGGAGGAGTATGATCTTCTCTCCGTTAGGTGTTGCTGTACCTGACAACTCTATTCATACTACCAGGATACTATACACCTCATGACTGAAGATTAGTCAGTACAGATATCTACTAGGATCGTTGGAGTCGATCAACACGAGGGTTACATCCTAGGCATTTCCTGGACTTAGCCTTAGACTGCCATTGCTTGTTAGAGTAATGTTCGCGACTTAACCGTTGACCACAGCTGCTGCACACCCGGCCAGTGCTCTCTGTCATTGACACACGGCTAATCACTATCATATAATTATCAACTCAGAGTAACATAACCCCCTGGCTTATATGGAAACACTCTCTTGACAATAGCAGTGGATCATAAGGTTACTCCTCATCAGCAGTATCCTCAGGCTGCAATGTGAGATCCAACGGCTCACCCATGATCCTGCTCCACATCTCAAGGACCTGCTTGACACTGGATACCAATATTCATACATTCTACTACATCCTGAGTGGCCGATTCAAAATGGCTGGTAGCATCATATGACTTCGATACGAATAGCTGATCGACCTTGCCATCGTCAGTAGGCTCATAACTAAAGATGAGCCAGTCGCGAGCGCTATCGCATACCACTCCTCTCCCACTTTTCAGAAATGGTAACAAATTTGTTTTCGATCTTCCCAAGCAGTTGCAGGGCCGGCATGATTTCCCTCTCAGGATCGTTAGTTTCAACGGTTGTGGACACCAAGGCCACGTACCTTCAATAAAGTCTAATCTCAGGAATGGTCCCAGACCAGCAAGGGTTGACGTTAGTAAGTAGCGTATATTACTTCCCTTTGAATGCAATGTTGTGAGCCCAAGAGACCATCATGACGTATACATCAGACCTAACCAACCCTATAGAGACACTTAGCGACTGGAGTGATACCTACCGTCGATTCAACTGCTTCTGTGGGATAATAATCTGGCAAGAGGTGGCATCATTGGTACTAGGTATTGTTTGGCCGAGGATCTGAAGTACCATAAGCATCCTCTCACCCAACCCTTACCCGGCAAACCTTACACATATACACCTGATGGTACGACCGGTACACCTAACCTTCTGTGGGAGGATATCCTTAACATAAGAGGGATCACATATCACCAACGGAGCGTGGGCAACCTGATACAATGAGTATGATGATGTAGATATCCAATGATCCAGTGAAGTGAATACATTACTACCTCCCCTTCTGATTTAACTCCACATATCTTCCCATCTGCATCGAACTCAAACCCATCTAAGACGATAATAGCTGCAAAGCAGTGATTGGTCCCAAACCCTACCGACAGGCTTATTGAGCATATATGTACCGCCATGTATTGCACTTAGACGACTAAAGCCTTCAGGTATACCACCTAAACATGGATACTACCAACAATGATACTGACTCACATCGATACCAAGGCCGTATATCGGGTAAATGAAGGGGCTCTGACCATATCTTGTAATCGAGTCGAGGTATCTACCATCGAAACGTGCCCTGTACAGATATCTATACTGTTATACTACAGTTTCATCTTCTGAATGGTAGGACCACATGGTTTAAAAAGATAACTATCATCTGGATAGAGGGCCACAGCATGACCGAAGAAGTCTATGGTATCGGGTTGTAGACCGTACTTCTCATAAACCTGTCAAAGGCGAACGATACACTACATGAGATCCATATGATGATCAAAGTGCGGTCAAGGGTATGTCTCACTTGCATCATTGTATGCCTGTTAGCATCTATACCATCATGAGTGGATATATCCTCATCAACCCACCTAAATGGACCGTAAGCATCAGTAACGCTTTAATCAACAATCCATATCCCACCTCGCTATAAATATGAAAAAACTAGTACATCTTTTCTTCTCCATAATACCCATCAATGGTGACCTAACAATTTCCATCTCTGTCGCCGGTACCTAGGACCGGACAGGTAAGGAGTGATGACCGAGCATAGGATTACCTTGTGGATGAACTTCTCGTTGGAAAAGAGACCAGCAGGTTGATACTGGTAGACGTAAGTCCCCTCGACAGACTTCCATTCGAGATATCTAATTGGTATGAAGTCCAAATAGGATCTCTAAGTCCGAGCCATACCTGGTAACCTTAGTTTTGAGGAGTATCTTAACCAGTTGACCCGAAGCCATAACAAATTTAGGTATAAGATCGACATTCCAATCCCTATTAGAGCCATAGTCGGCTGGTGGCTTCTCACCTACACCAATCGTTGCCTCTATCCTCCAAAGTAGATTGACTCAAACTACTACCATTACCTGGCCTGAACTTGTCCCATAGAGTGGTGAGATTGAGTGAGGCGCAATCACCACCATAGTATCCATTACGATCCAAATGGAGGACCTTCTTCCCATGGCACTGAAGGGAAGGAAGACTATCATCTCTATATTAGGTCGTAGTAATGCTACCGAGAACAGTCCAGAAAGGATACACTCCTTTAGACCGGTGCCACAGACGATGACGTCGTATTGTTCATCCATAGTTAGGAAGTTCCTGGTGCAAACTAATCAGAATCCAAGTATCGTACAAAACAGGAGCGTGTCCATCAAGAAGGCATACGTAGTGAGTTGATATTCTGTTGTACGAACCGGCAGAAATGTTCCACTCCTACTGCTGGCAAATAATAAAGGGTATATCAGTTGGGAGAAACCCAGGGCATGCCACACCGCATAGCGGAGGCAAACGTCAAACGCACATGTTGTCATTGGAGATGTTCTGCTCAGGCGTGATCACGACAAGCATAGGGGTCACATTGGATAGACCTGTAGTTATCCAATATTCCACCGAGCTAATCCTTACTGTGCCGATTGACGAATACGGTGCGAGCTAAAATTTCCTGGCCAACTGATGTGTCTTTGACGTCGGAGATCACCGCTGGCGAGTGACAATAGATGTGAGCACTACAAAGTGCTCGACAAAAAGTTTACACACTTGCTCCTGACTACATTATCGATCTTCAACGGTTGGCAGAGATTAACTGGGATAGCAGATTAGTCATGTGAGATAACTTCATGAAAAGGACTTGACAAGAGGAACCATTATTTTCACGGGTGTGTAGCTCAGTGGTAGAGCGGCTGACTGCAGATCAGCAGGTCCTCGGTTCAAATCCGGGCGCGCCCTAAAATATCTAAGGTAGTTTATAGTGTAGTCTCATTTCACATAACAAGGTGTGGTATCAGTCGAGCCAATCATTGCGTATCAGGCGTCCTTCTCATCCCACTTGAGTACAACCATCCACATCAATCAGTACCCCCTCCGGATCAAAAGAAACTCAGTTCAGTTTTCATCCAATTTGACACAAGAATTTTCCATACACATTGACCTTGCTGGAACGGTCCCGGAAGAGTCGGAACACGTTGATATAACGAGACACGTTATATTATAACCTCCTCTTATCAAACGCAACAATCAGGTCATATGATCATTCATTCTTCCATACCCTTTATAAAAAGTATCAGGAATCGTTGAGGTTGGATTCATGGCTCCGGGTCTTAATATCGTCCGATTTTGTCATCGCTAGAATACACAGAATTACAGCTCCTGCTGAACCTGACGGTCAGTCGACAGCAGTAGGTAGAATATTGACGGTTTAGTAGGGTGAGGAGGATAAAACTATCAGCATAGGACTTGCAGCGACGATCATGCCCGAAGTTGATACAAAAACTATGCAAAGAGGATAGAGGCTGTCTTAAAATAGCGGCTAGGATCCATTTCGTGGTCCAGCAGCGCCGTCACCACAGGTGAGCAGAACAGTCCGGTGATTGATGGTCGGAACGAAACTGAAAGGCTGACATGACTATTAGCAGTCCATGTTTGTGCTGACCCTTCGTTCTTCAATACTCTGCCTCCTGCCATAGTTTCAGCAATGCTCGCTTCGGAGTCTTTCTTGATTATATCCTTGACATTCCAGAATTCAATGCTGCTATCTGGCGGGGGAGTCATTGTCTCATCGAGAGAATCACCTCGTGCCTGCAGCAGGTATGGAAGCTTGAATAACAACTCCGCAGCTCCCTTTACCGGTGCCGATGGAATGTTCATCGTGATCCATGGATGATTAAGAGCCTCCTTGGCAGTCATTCGTTGCTGAGGGTCGATACTCAGGCATCTGTAATAGATGTTACTGATTGCAATTCGATCACAGCATCTCGTTTGGTTTACCGTGTAAGAAAGTCTTTGGCTTCGTCGCTTATATCCCGCCAATATCGAGGTTCGAACTCTACTGCTTCCACCATATTATCGGGAGGGTAGAATGGCTCGTAACCCTGAGAGGAGGTTTATCATGTAACAGTAGCCTAATGGCCACCTTACCCCAATAAGGGTGAACGCAATCACACCCATGGCAAATACGTCAACTTTCCCATCATAACTTCGACCCAACAGTTGCTCGGGGGCAAAGTATCCTGATGTACCTAACCAAGTACCTCTCCAGTATTCATATATGGATCCACTTGCCTCTGAGTTGAGTAAAGAGGACATCATTGGTGGCCGGTCTAAGGTCCTCGGTAAAGCCAAAATCACATAGCTGTATCATGTATTTCCCATTGATCTTTCGTAATAACATATTATGCTGAAGATAGACTCCCCCTGATACCCACAGACAATAACCTCTTACAGGTTTAATATCACCATGGACAAGCCTTTCCTCATCATGCATATAAGTTATCGCGGCGGCGATCTGATAATAATACTACCAGATGATGATGCTAGAGGGTCTAGTGCATACTTGACTAATGCAATTCCTTGCCGCTTCTTCAGTCAAAGTGGTACAATGCGTCAATTCATGAAGGTCTCCATCCGACGCTGAGCATCATATCTCTCTAGTGGCTACTAGGAGTTATCGTACCATAAGGAGTGACTGTTAGAAATCCATCTTGTGTTTCCTCACAAGCTATAAGAGGTACTATGTTTACATTACGCAGCTTCGAATGATGCTTCAGCTCACACCTGATGATGGTCGAAGGCTATACACCTATTGTACCATCGTACCGTGCCCTCTCTATTTCAGCATCACTAACAAGCTTCTTCTTCTGTACCAATTTAATTGCAACTTCCTAACAGATAACGTCCCAATTTCATAAGACTCCAATACTACATTGCCGGTCAAACAATCCCTTCCTCGTGCTACAGTACATGTAAAACCACTGTTATAGATAATAAGACTAGACTCTTGAAATCTGATGGAATTATCGTCAAGTTAAGTAGCACCTGATGATTACCGTGTATTGAGCATCTTGCTATGAGTGAGCAGCCCGTTATTGATCGGTCTGGGTTGCATAGTACGTTGAGACGGACTGGACGTCCAAAGTAATAAGAAAATAGTAAAAACTGATACCACCAGATATTCAGTTACCAAACTCTGTAGCTCAGAATCAGGGATCCAATCTTCACTCATAGGATCACTCGAGAATTAGTATTGAGTATGAGATGAGTTCCCTGAATACTATTGAAAAGTTAAGTGCATTCGATCCTCCATGTGCGGCCCTCGCCTGTCTTACGGAGGTCCAGTAAAGCTCGACGAAATCAGTCCTGGGGTCGATCTTGAGTTTTAAAATAAGTTTACTGACCCTCCTCCCACTGGGCCTGTTTCACAAGGATACTTATTTTAAGGCGCCTTAAGTATTCCTAAACTTAAGGCGCCTTAACGTGCTTACTTAAGTAGTGAAATAGGATGTCCTAATTACTTGAGGTATACTTAAGGCGTTACTTAAGTTTAAGGCGCAATTTGCTCCTGTGAAACAGGCCCACTGTCTCTTCTACCACGAGTTTTGTGGCGCGCGACTTTTCGGTCATTTTGTGGACTGCTACTTCACATTGTGAGATGAGTTGAATACCTCTTACGTGATACTCAAATCAAGGGGCCTTCAATGAAGTATCCTCATGAAACAGGCCATTGCCGAGTTAAGGGCAAGACGAAACAGTAGAGAATATTCAGTGGCCTATATATGGAACGAAGGAACGTTAAGTTCACTCGAGGAACTTAACTTCGCGAGTGGACCTAACTCTATGGTATAGCTCTAGTGTATCGTATATCAGCGTAGTCGATAGGTTAGTGTCAAGGTAGTGATAGGTTAGTGCTGCTGGCCGCCTACCTGAGAGCTGTAGTATTGAGTAGGCTCATCTAATCGGTATCTAGTGTATCCCTTAGGGTGCTCTCATACTCGGAAGGTGATGACAACTATTTGATATGATCCTTTAGAATGCCTTACGATAGGTATAGATAACCAATATTGATAACTAGTAGGGTTGTGGATCACAGTAACCAGCCCGTATATAGTACCACTAGGGCCTACCCTGTCCCCTCTTGTAGAGCGGCTAGTATTGGTATCCTGCAGTTGAGGTTGGTACATGTTCCGAGTTGCCTTCAATCGTCTGGGTGCTGCTGCTCAGCCTAGTGGTGGTGTACTACAAGGCCTCAAAGCTAGTGGAGGGTTCAAGGCAGCATTCAGGGAGGTACTCTCAATGCCCCCCCCCATGACGTTGGTATATTCGGTTTCTAGTCAACCTTCTGGAGCTCTCCTGCTGTGATGGGGACCACATTCCTAGCTGTCCTATCCCTCCCCTTCGTATACCGTATTGGATCGGCCATGTATTGGACTAAGGAATTGAGGAAGCTCAATGCTAGGGAGGTCATCAATGACCGGTAATTACCTGCTGTCATCATCATCATGTGTAGGGTCCATTTAGGTTCAATTGGCTACATACCGAGATGCTGGATGATGAGGTCACTAAACAGTGCGCAAAGCAAACCCCTAAGGGATTACAGATGATTGGTAACACCGATGCTTCTTAATTATCTGTGATGGTTCTGTGGCTGGTGACCGTAGTTGTTCTTCTTGTGCCTTATAGGTAACAGTGGTGTAGTGGTATGAGCTTGTGAAAGCTGAGTGTCAGCCCGTTTTTATCACCAACTCCTCCTCATCATCATCACTATTTCTGCACTCTTCGCCCTTGTGTATAAAGTTCGACATGATGTTAATGAGGGGGGGGGACTATCGAAGAACCTGTATACCTAGAGAGGTCATCCTTCGATTGGTTATCATTAGTCTATCAATCTTGGCCGTAAGGCAGATGACTTGTCATTATGAGTAAACTGGAGGTAAGGGATACTCTTGGATGGGATGCCAACTCTAGGGATATGTTGCTCTTGGTCACGAGGATGCTTGAGACACTCCAGGATCGAGGGGTAGTAGTAGTATGGCACTAGGTCCCCATCTAGTGTACTAATCCAATAGGTACTCAGGTCAGCTGGGGATGTACTGAGATCAGAAGCTGAAGCATCTGGTTTATACGGGTAGACACTGATAGGATAGAGGGCAGCACTCTCTACTCTCAGGCCAAGACCTTATTCAGCCATTAGGAATCTGGACCTTCATGGAGTTCCAGGAGATCGACTATTAGATGTATGCAATGGGAGGTAGTAGTTGCCTCGGTCAAATAGGGTTCTTGAGGAGCTGTAGGTCTATATTGCATCCCGAGAGGGGTTCGGATGATAGCAGGATCGAGCAGGATCATAGATGGACGACATCTGTCTATCGATCGTTCTCGAGACGAGCAGCATATCCTAATGTAGGACGACGACGAATACCACCTATCAACCCTTTCCTATTCGATATACTACATGATGCTGCTTCATATGCTGATTATACCCTTCCTAGGTTGATCATCATCACCGTCCTTCCCCTCTGGCCTTATCTCTACTCCATTGTCGCAAGCTCCAGCGTGTATGGTCTGTATTCGGTCATCGTACACCAGCACTAGGAGTAGTTGACGATGTAGATGAATCTACTCAATATCAAGCAGTTCCAGTGTAGACTCCAGTGTGATGTAGTACAGGACGAGTAGGCTACTACCTCTTAGGTATTGTGTCCGTTTTGCATGTAACTCCCGTGTTATCGTCACTGGTGGGGATGACTATCGATTAAGGGTATGGGAGACTAAGACGGGAAGGTTGAAGTCGACTTTGGCTGGCCATACTGGAGAGGTATAGCAGTCAGGGAAGGTCTATCAATAGCAGCATACCTAGTCTTAGGTTATGGAAACTGCTGTTAACTACTGTGATACGATAATTGCCTCGTCTGCTACTGATAAAACAGTAGGTGCACGTCGATACCCCAGAGGGGATAGAGTCATTCAGGTACGGTTATGGAAGGTAAGTGATGAAGACCAACAAAGTCGTCCTTTAACAACTCTCCAATTCACTGCTGAGGTCCACTTTATGGCTTTCTCTCCATCTAAGGATCATGAGCAAGTAGGAGCTATAGACTCTTGGTCTGCTACATAGATGCTGCTTACTATTAGGTCTTCATAACAGTTACATGTGATGGTGGTATTTTTATATGGGATCTAACTACGGTCACCAGAGACAACGGGGGAGAGGTGCTTAGTGCATATTGCAAGTATTAACTCTAGTCTAGACCAAGATAACCCTTATTGGTCGTAGCAGGTATTATCTTGATGTTGAGAGTAAGCTCATACGGGGATTTGATATTTTCTCGGGACCTAAGATAAGCACTAGGATGGTAGAGGACATCTCAAGTAAGATCGCTCCTCACTGTGATGGTTGTGTATCTATTGTTGGTAGATCCTTCCTCTGTGGAGGGGTACACTAATCGATATTTGAACTTCTGGTTTGCCGTTGGATGTAGTGATAAGTGTGTTCGGGTCTTCTCGGTACAACCACATGGCGATAGACCGGTTAAGATGGACGTTAGGAATCCGGAATTCGTGAAATACCATCATTTAGAGTAGCATCCCTACCTTATAGCTCCAAGTACTATTCGGATCACAGGTTCGAGCTCAGTGGTGTCCATACCCAAATAGTGTCCCATGTGTGTTTTGATAACCTAAATGGTGATTGTGCTTCATCTGATGATCATGGTGGCCTCGTATTATGGCGTCTATCCTCATCAACTATGTATAGTAGGCCCAGGCAGAAGTGGATAGAAGCTTTGGTAGGGTTGAAGAGGTCCTCCTTTTCTTGTAAAGTGGTATGCTTTGAATGTTCAGCGTTTGTCGAGCCCTTTAAACCCCCTTCCTGAGTATATTGAATTGGTACGGCCTATCATCCCAACTGGTGATTCAATCATCCGAATGTGTGTGGACGGTGAAACAACACTGTGTAACCTATCTAAGGTAAGTTGATAGTCTTTATCATAGCTCATTCACGTATGGATAGGCATGCCCATCGGTTCAAGGGTATTGGGGGTATCACGCTATACGAACCTTTTCTTGGACGGCTGATGACAAGTAGTAGTATTAGATCATTAATCCGATAGTCGGAAGTAAGAGTGATGGACGCTGATCAGGTATATTATCTGTGGGGTAGCAGAGAACCCAGTAGAGGCATCGAAAGACGAGACACCTACTGTACCAACAGAAGGTCGACAATACCGCTATGGTGCACTAGTAGGTCCCTCGTCATTAGCAGCAGCAATATCCTATCATCCCCATAGGTGTTCGAGGCCCCCTCTGCACGCCTATTTGATGCTGTTATGCATCCTTCTTTGGTTAATGGGGAAGTCTATGTGGCTTTACCGGTACCTAGCATCTTGTATATGTCCTGTTATGTTGTGCCTTGCAGGCTAAGTTTCTATACCCCTGGTTATTCTGTCTATGCTCCTATGATGGTGGTGTGACCTTGTGGAGTATTGATCCTCATAAGAGCCGAGCTCAAGTTGTGAATAAGTGATCTACTCGAGTTACCATGGTATACCGACGCTCCCTCCAGGTTCGATCTCTCTAGTTGCCACCCTGATGATCCCCATTCGACAAGGCAATTCTGTGATGGCCAATTTGATGGTAGAGGGGACTTTGTGGTGACAGATAACCTTGGATGTGTAAGCATAGGTAGTCTTGTTCATGGCATATGGTGGTGGTGGTTCAATTCAGGTACACTACTTTTCAACTGGAGAGCCTCCATTATCGGGTAGTTCATTAGCAGCTCCATTAGAGGAACAGTTCTTTGAGGGGGATTACCTCATGGGCGTAAGATATAATCATACTACCTCCATAATGGTAAGCTTATAACAGGTTCATTGTACAGCCCCTGGTGAACGGTTATGTGATGCTCGTATGAGACCATATCCAATGAGCATGCTTTATTACAAAGGACATGCTGCTGCTTCTAGGAGGCTGCCTCATCGGCAACGATCGGCTAAGTCGGTGTATTTAAGGGGACTACCGACAAGGGGAGAGGGGTAGTACTTAGGTTCGGGGATGGTATGCTCATCCGATATGCAGATATGTAACGATGATGTCACAACCAGTGAGTGGGGAGGATGCAGTAGAGGAGGTGGCTAGAGATAGTGACAATGCCAGTTATGCTACACTAGTTAGACATTCAACAGGGTAGGATGGGATGATGTCTCCTACGGGGTAGTGGTGTATGTTAGTCATTCGGAGGCTAGTGAGGATGGATCAAGAAGGATGACGACTAGATCTGGCAGGACAGTCCATAGGTTACATTGGGGTTCATGGAGGTTAATGTTAGTAATATTACTCAGGCCACAGAATGTGTATGAACTATACCAGCCATCAGACTACATCGATGATGATGATGATGAGGAAGACGAGGATAGTGACGACGATCGAGAGTTCCTTGCCACTAGACGCCATGGGACGAGCTCTGGTCAGAATCATCAACTACGACGGAGACGTCGTCGTCGTGGTCGTGGTGGTCGTGGTGGCCGTGGACATCGGAGGCCTCGTGGCACTGAGGAGGTGCATGATGGTATGTTGATAATGATACATTCGCCCTCCTCCTCATACTACTACTATCATTCAGAGTCTACACAAGAGACAACGACTCGTCGTAGATTGAACCATGGTCTACCATCAATACATGTTGTAGCCTTCAATGCTGAGATACCATCTAGTGCATGCTGTGAACTCTGCCACTCATCTGGTCCATCTAAGGTGGGTGGAGAGCTCTTAGGACCCTTCGCCGAATTCAAGTAGGAATTCAAGCCTACAGTAGCCTCTCATTGTGAATTAGTCGTCCTCCTTCTCTTTAGTGAGGATAACCTTCCATCCTTCCCCCATCTACCACTCCTACGCCAATCTAATAATACCACCGGATCCCCTCTACTCTATATTCATAGTGGATGTTTAATGGCTTCTGATGGTATACGTATTGAGCTTAGAGATACACCCCAGCCAACAGGAGGAAGGCCGCGACAAGTGTTGGTTGTGGATGACCTTAAGAGGATATTGAGGCGTGCGGCTCGGACAACATGTCATGTTTGTGGCAACAGTGGGGCCTCAGTGATATGTCAGTCACGCGTGAGCTGTCGTGGTACCTCGGCTGCTCACTTGAGTTGTTTGAGATTGGATGAATCGTTCAAAGAGCGGTATAAGATGGATAAGTTGATCGATGGCATCTATCGGTGTAATGCCTGTCTACCACTAGATCATCCAAGAAGTGTTAGAATAACCAATACTGTATTAAAGAACTACATTGATCCCACTTGGAGAGGTCTTAAATGCCTTAGAGAGTGGTTATTGGTTACCAAACATAATCCTAATATTGATACATATGTCCCTCAAGTTGGTGATATAGTGCGATACTTTCCCCCACAAAAACCACAACTACTACTTACCTATGATGATGTAGATCCATTCTTCTGGTGTGCTGGCGTATCAGATCGGCATGCTCCAGTGAGTAGTAGCCTTCGGACGCTTCTTCTGTAACATGACCATACCCTCAGGTCGACTGTAGGATATTGGCGAGACCTCCCCCATCATACCTCTTCCCTGGAGAGCAGGATCAGAGCCGTATAGCTGCTGCTGAATGCAAGTTGATAAACCCAGCCGATACCACACCATTCAATAACTTGGTCATCGTACGTTTAACAATGGAAGTAGGCGTAGTCTACACAGAGGCCAACGATAGGCTCATGTAGGTAATGGCTCCTCATCCAGCAGCAGGCAAACGTTTCATACTACATTATCGTCCCTCTGATGGTGATGCCGATCTACTAGTACCAATACCTCGTATTAAGGCTGCCTTGGACTATTGGCGGGCACGACCTCCACATAACGGCTCTCGAGCTCGGATCAAGTATGATGCCGACTTTAGTACTGTTGACATCATAAACTATACTGATGATGATGATGGGCAAGATGAGATCTCTTTATTGGCTGCTGTTGGTCAACAAGAAGATGAAGCTAGATCAGTGGAGGGGGATACAGTCATCACAACCTCTTCTTGGACAGTAACAGTACCACGACTCATAGGCTGGAAGAATATTAAAGTGAGAATAGCTCCAACCAATCATGTGATACGTATATCTATTCAGGTGAGGGATGTTAGCCCTACAGGAGAGGCAGATAATAGCTCCTCATCATCATCATCACGAGTTGGTGAGGATATGACGGCTCGGGGGCAGCAGGCATTTGATGTCTGTGCTTGGGAGTTGGTACCTCCTCAACAAGACACATCACCATTTAATATGCTTAATGATAATGATGATGGTTGTTGTGATAGTTATGATACTAGAGAGGTATCATCATCTGCATGGCGTTGGCCATGGTGTCTTACTCCAGAGGAAGAGGAGGTTGCTGATATATCAGGTATGATGCCCTCCTATGCCCCTATACTATACAGTGCCTCAGATGAATATGATCATTTCCTTGCCGCAGCTCCATGCACATATCCTCCTGGTCCAAGTGAGTCTAGAGCTAACCTTATCATAGCATGGCTTGAGAGGATGAGGGAAGCCCCCCTACCTAGAGGACATTGGCTATTACTGCAATCATCATACAATCATACAACCATAGGAGGCAATCCACAAGTATCAAGCACAGCATAACCATCATCATCATACTTGATGTTATATCAGATATCACCGCCGCCTGCTCCGCTTGAGCCTGAATCACTCCAACGTGTATGTATACTAGTACACGAGTCACCATTCGAGTCCGCTGATTACTCGAGAGACTTCCTCATAGACAATGCGTACCCGATGTGGACAGGTCTCATTGAGGAAAGGCTCAAGCAGGTAGTAAGACCGTGTTGTGAGTGTCCATTGCTGAGTTGTTACGATGCTTAGTCCTCTTATTATCGTGGTATGGAGCCTCTACAAGAAGACCTAAGACTGCTAGTTCATTGTCATCGCTACTCATCACTAGATATACGTCACTGTGTGCAATGCATAGTTAATGGTCTCCTGAAACTATGTTCTCTTACTGATAGGGAGCTTACTCATAGGTAGTATCATTAACCCATAGGCTCAGGATTATAATGTCGCTTAGGTCTAATCAACCACCACCACCCTCATCGACTACTGTTGCTGTGGACCCAGGTCCACAGGCTGACCTCACCAACACACCATCGCGAAAGCGGCGTACTTTAAGGAGTACACGGTCATCAGTATCAGCAATGAATAGTTCGGGTAAGGATAACTGGATACAGTGCTCAAGGTGTAACAAATGGCGACGAGTCGTATTATCCATCTATGAACGGTAATAATAAGCGTAGTAGTAGGTCATCCTCTTGTTGTTGTATACAGGCATCTATTACAGGTATCAAGGTGATGTACAATTTGAGTGTAGTGATCTAGAAGGGGTCACGTGTGGGGATCCACCTGATGGTGCTCTAGGAGCAGATAATGAAGTCATTGACCGTGACGATGCTTCTATTGGCTGGGTACAATGTGACAACTGTTCTAAGTAAGTGCGTCTAAGTGCTGCTGTGTATGTGGTGATGATAAGATTTGATCATCCATGTCAGGTGGCGTATTGTGGATCATTCGGTATATGAGAGGTTCACTTCTAACTCTTTCCTCAAGTTCGGTTGTCGTGCGAATGGACGATCTTGTGAGGAAATAGGCGATGATGATGGTCTAGAGGATGAGAATGATGACTATCATATGCATGATGATGATGATGAGGGCAGCGCTCCTTCAAAGAAACGGTAAGAAGGCCACGCTCCTACTATCATCATTATCATGTATATAAGGCGAGTAGGTCTCGTCGCGTAGTGGATAGCGAGAATCAACGAAGAAGACGTATAAGAATAGTTCGTAGTAGTAGTAGTAATGGTAGTACTCACAATAGCAGCATTCGATAACATAATCATTATCATTCTGTACATCATTATTGTTTATTACTATCGTCACTGTCCCCCTTTTTACTACCCGAGATGCACGACTTCTCCCCCATCGTATTGAGTTACCCCATTGCCATCATTGGGTGTTGAGAGCAAACATCAGCTCCTTGTATCCACGAGATGACCTTTGAGCTCAGGATCTAATAGTTAGTCCTAGCGAATGGAGGGTGGTCATTTAAGTTCGGGATTCCTCGTGCTACTGAGCAATGAGAAGTTACAAGGCGAATTTCCGCTAGTGAATGGTGTAGCAAGTAGTTGACGGGTTAGATCGGCCTCTGATGATAAATGGCCGTTTAAGCAGGCCGTCTACTGTGCAAGGGCGCCAACCTGCTTGTCACCACAGTACGCTCATAATCGATGCTGGGGGACGACAGAGACATCAGACGTGGTGCCAGGCCACATACAAGAGATGAGCTCTGTTATATGACCGTAATCGATAATAAGGAGTTCATTACAATCTCTGGGTGGCAGAACACTTGTGGTTGACAAGGAAATCACAATGAGACCCCACCACTTTGAATATCATCTCACCTTCTACAGTGTGGAATCTACATGCACTAATTCTATCGCATATCATGCTAAACCTCGGCTAAGCTCATATTATTGTATTCTGGTTGACTTTATCTTATAAGAACATTCCTCGCAGTTTCGCCCAACGTTTTTAGAATCGGTTGAGTACTTCACAAGGCGTATTTGCCGAATCATACAGGTCATCGTAGAGCTCATCAAACAGACAACTTCATCTTTAGATAGGTGGTTCCATTTACATGAGGGTTATCAAGTATCATAAATGCATCAGAGGAGGCGGTGGTCGCCTCAATCTTGGAAGCTCACTTGTTGCCGCGAGTTAGCAACTTCCAGTGACGTACCCGTGTAAAGGATTACTTTCATCAATCCGAGTTAAACCACTTCGATGTTGAGAAGCTGAATTTAGTAGGGGGTACGCGGCTTGTGACCATTACTGCTGTGATTTGATAAATATCCGTCAGCCGAAATAATCGACGAACCGATTCCAGCGGGGTTACACCAATCGTTGTAGAGCCTATGTTTTTTGTTATTGACAACCCCTTACATAACATTTCAAGGAGATGTCTTTCGAATACCAGTTTCGCTTATCAGTGATGATGTTATCGATCAATCAGTTTATACCTCCCAATAGGTTCAACTGTGTAAGATCCAGCCACTATCAAGTAATCATGAAACACAAGACATCCGGTTCAACTGGGACAACATCACAATAACAACTAAGACAACAATCCTCGACACATGCGAATACACTCATCGCCGTCTCATGGATCCGCCTTCAACACCGTCGTCATTCCAAGTATCATGTCGAAGGCTCTCAAACCTACTTCACTGCATACAAGAGTCGATCAATAAATTCCTCACCGTCCATCACTCCCATCAGTGCGATTCTCTTCCTCATTCTTATACCTCCAATCAAGATCCTCATCATCACTCGTTGAAAACCCATCAGGTCCTGGTAACATCGTTAGAGCTGCAAATGCGGCTAGTAACACGAAGGAAATCTGAGCCACTAACGATGTTGACATATGATTATGACTCCTTCACCTACCCAGAAAGCAGCACAGAACCACTGTACCATCCTCCCTAGCTCTCTAGAAGCATCTGCATTAACTCGGCACCATAGTCCCATCTGAGCAAGATATTGGCCCCGATACTGCTGATAGACCTCACCAATTGTTCCCCTAGACGCTCATCATGCATACATAACTTCCATTCCTTCATAAGATCGCCTTCATCAGGTGATTCCTCTGTAAGTTCATTCAGCCAATTGTGTATCTAAAGATATCTACTATACACGGATTTTCCGATATGCATTCTACCCTCCAATCACCACATTTGGGTCTAGTAAATGTGCCAGTAGATATGATGTAGCCACCATATTGGCAGTCAGCAGCGATGTATGTATCGTCAAAAGCAGCGTACATCCTATCCCTGATAGCTTGAACATTCTCATCTCTTGATGGTATTAGGGTTAGCTCGGATCTATCGAGCTCTAACTTGTACATTGTAATAGAATGCCAAGAGAGGTAGCCTCCCATGAGAGCGAAGATGATGGCTGCTACCCCACCGATAGCAGCATATACCACTCGGAGGGGAAGAGAATCCTTACCTTGCATCAGACCGATACCAATCCCAAGGCCTGAGCCTAGCAACAACAGAGATGTTGCCACTAGTGCCAGACAGACGTGGGCGTGAACGAAGTATGCCTGGTAGAATGGCTGATAGTAGCACCAAAGGGTTGTTATTAAGAGAGAGATCCCCCAGAGTAAGAGGAATGCATTGGCCCCCATAAGGGCTACTGGTGGTAATAAGCCGCCCATAGTGATGATGAGCAACAACTGCAAACGAGTGTTTCCTGGAAACATGCGCTCTTAATCGATCAAAATACCGCGCACGCCCAGAAACTGTCATGGTGTCGTCTTCTCGAGCATAGTTTTCACGAACATGGCTGATACTATCGAAAAGGACTTCAATGCTGCTGTAGCATATGTTAGAGGCCTACCGAAAGGCAAAAGCCCAATCAGCACATCAAAACAATTGGATTTTTATTCCAGATTCAAGCAGGTAATCTTACTTGGATATGTTTATAATAGATTTCTCATAATGCAGGCAACTATCGGCACGTGTGCTGAACACGGTGGATCCCAACCATGGGCTGTGCAAGTAGAAGCTCGAGCCAAGTGGGATGCTTGGAAGAAGCTTGGTGACATGTCAAAGGATGAGGCTATGAAGGTTAGTCCATTGTTGGTTGGTATTCATTGTCAAGTCTTATTTTAGGAGTACGTGTCAATGCTCAATGAGGTTTCCCCTACGTGGAAAGAAGGAGTTAACTAAGTCCAACTTTACCATTGTGCTTCATAACTACACATTTCAAAGTGGACTTGTTACATAGTCGTGCTGATGAAGTCAATAAAAGGGCCTTCGTGATGGGGTTCAATCGTTATCAATACTGATATTCTCAGAGAATGTAATTCCATCACCTCGTCCCTATTGTCAGGCATATCTAACCTTTACCATTAAGGTAGTAGACTATGGCTGGACCTCTCAATGATATCAGTCGCGCTGTGACCAGAGGTCAAATGCTAGGTTTTCCATACCGAGTGTTCCTAGTTATATGGATCGTACGGCGGAGTTACACTTACGAGTAGTCTTGCGATATCTGACGCTAATGGAAAACCCGGGGGGGGGGACTAAACTCGGAGTGATGTATCAAAACACGGCCTTATCCAAGGGCCGAGTGGGATGCTACTCTCAGAGTGTTGAGTCACAAATGATAGTGATATGATGAGTGATACCGAGTCACAAATCCTCCAATAAGCGAAGGCGTTAATCCTAAGTATGCCGAGTCACTACTAGGACTCGGAGGCTTTTGATTTCTTTTCTTAGGAGCAGCTTCCAGATGGAAACTCAGAAACCGTTCCGCTTCACGTATATCAACGTAGTATAGCTGACTTAAATGTGGGAAATATCACTTGAAAATCGATTTCTACAACTCTTTAACGCAGGTCATCTTCGCTCAAAATGGAAATAATTGATAAGCAGGATTATAGAAAGTATTGTATTAGTTGAAATGTTTGCGAGTAGTGAGGGTGTTGTGGGACGGTTCGCGTACTTTGGTGGTAGAAGATAGTTCTTTCTTTGGTCGCGTAGTGTTGGGGTATGGGGTTCGGAAACACCACCTCCTCTCAGAGATACACGATTGTCTGATCTCGGAGGGAAAAGCAGCAACCACTTGAACACTGTGGTGCTCGGAATTAATGAAACTACTCGGATTCCGAGGGCTCGTATTCCAAGCTCGGACGATATTGTCACTCGAACTGGTACCTCCTGCGAAGATTCCCTTTCTTTTTCTCGGACTCTGCGAAGTGAGCACTTGAAGGGGCTCCAGGTATGGGATGATACGAGGGTTATGCCAATGAGAATCCGTAGTATAGCGAATAGGACATTCTTCGATCAGAAGTGCCAATACTCCACCGTCTTGTGGTGTATAGAGATAAGGCGCATAAGACCCCAAAAGGCGCGATAATACGGTGTGCATAGACTATATTAACAAAAGAGCGGAACAGTGTATAACCAAGGATGGTCACCTTTCATATGCGCCAGTGCTTACCCTCGGCTCTCTCTTTATCCACCAGATAAGTATGAGATTAATTAAAATAGGATGTAGAGGATATTAACAGTCATGAGAGGTCGTTATCATCGAGTGTGGTGCTTATACGGCTAGGAAGACATGTATTGTTATTACAGAGGGTATACTACACCTTTTCAATCTCAAATTCAGCAAGTGAAAGAACGAATCAAATAAATGAAAATCGATTTTCGTTGAATGATAGGAATTCTTCGCGGAATGTAAGTTCAAATTCGAAATGAAATTTATGAATTCGGCAAACTAAGTTCAAATTCGTCTAACACAATTCCAATTTCGGCCGTTAGATTTGAGATTGAAAAGTTGTAGATGGAACAGCGCTGATCTATCCATGATACGATAAGTGACTGGGAGGAGGCTTAGTGGTGATCCAATAAGAAGACGTTGAGAGGGAGTTAAGAACATCGCTATAATCTGTTGCCATTCGCGTTGTTATACTCGATTGGATATGGGTTGATGACAGTTCTCCTTGATAGCGGTTGGTATTATGCTGTACTCGTTGGTGGTGATGGTAGACCAGACTTCGTAGAGCTCCTACAGGGTTGTTGGAGTCTCCAACCAGAGATTCACGACGCCATGCAAAGACTATTACAATATCTAATCCCGATGATGATGCCGTATAATGGCTCTCGAGAGGATCGAACCCCCAACCATTGGATGATTGGGCCACGTCTGATGAAGGCAATGACCGCCAATGGATACCAACTACTACCAGTAGTAGTTTAAACTATTACGATACGGGATATGAATGGATCGTATATCCACCAGTTAGCACTACCTCTTGCAACAGTACCATCATCTCAAACAGAATCTCTAGTGAGGGCCTATTGCACATCCAAGGTTAGCAGAAACAGCAGTACTATCCCCGACACCTGGCGTATGTAATGATGTATCTTGCTCATCTATAACTACTGTAGGGATCGCGCCCTACGCGCTCGCCCTTGTAATCGTTATCGTCTGATCACTTATATTCGCTCGCCATCGATCGCGCTATGCACGTATGCGCACTGTGTGCTCATGAACTTAGGATAAGTAGAGTTACAACTCCCTTTTGATCCTTCTCACTCGGCTGCCCTTCTACGAAGGTCTGCCCTTGTTGTGAAGTTCGACTACGCTATCCACTGAAGTCTGGCTACTAGTTGTGTTGCCCAGTAACAGGCACAACATTCTGGTAGCAGCTCCTTGTTGATCGACGACGAGCCCAATGACGAATAACACTGGTGATAACTGCCCCCAGGCTGATGAAGCCGCCCCCTTGAGGATTAGTCTCTCGATGCCCCCTGCTTTCGACGGTATCTCCGGCAGCTTTAAGGATTGGCTAAGACGTTATGAACAATGTGCCCTTGCCGCCGGATGGTCCACTCAACAGCAGGCAGAACGCCTTGGTCTGTACTTGAAGGAACCCTTTCTATCTGGTTGGGACGCTTATGCTAAGAAGGTGAACTTCGAGGAAGACAAGAAGTCCCTCCTGAAGATATTTGATCATGTCCGTCCCCACCAAGCACTGAAACAGTTCCAAGAGCTACGCTGGTCCAAAGGTCAGCACCCTGCCCTCTATGCTGCAGCTCTACAACGACACCTCAACCGGTACTATACCAAGGAGAAGTTCCCTGAGCTCTCTGAAGCGGACAGGACTAAGAACATGGAGGAGATGATCATTGATCGACTGAAAGCAGATCTACCCCCCATGGTCCGGTTCCAGCTCCTCTTGAAAGAGCCTAAGAACCTCAAGGAGGCCTGTATAATGTGTGACAGCGTTCTTGCCCTTGACGACGCTAACTCCAACACCATGGTCGAGACACCGGCTAAGGTTGCCACAGCCGCTGGTGTTTTCGGTAGCCAACCGGCCGATGACTCTACGGATGCGCTCACGAAAGCTGATGCCAAGCGTATCGAACAGAAGCTCGACAGGATTTTGGGTGGTATGAGACGCAAGAGTGGCGATCCTAAGCAACAGCCAGATACTAATGTCACCTCTACCGTGGCCCTTACTCGGCCTAGGAACTGTGGTATCTGCAAGGCCCAGGATCATCCGACCTACTCCTGCCCCAACAAGAAGTTCTCGGAAGGTTGCTACTGGTGCGGCAAGACTGGTCACTTGGCTAGAGATTGTTACCAGAACCCGAATAAGGTGATCCGTAATACGGCCTCTAAGCCCCCTGGAGGTTCCCCCTTACCGCTGGGAAACCCCCAAGGCGGTCGATAAGCGGCCCTCGATCGCCAGTACCATTTGCCCTTGAGACTTTCGGCGGGTCTTATGGCAATTTTCTTTACGCCGATATTTCATCTGACAAGGCCGCTCGAGGTCCTTGTCATGCTCTAGTTGATACTGGTAGCTGTTATACTTTATTAGACGAACGTTGTGTCCCGGCTGGTGCCAAGATACAACCTGTTCGTGGACTTGAACTTATTTCTGCACAGGGTCATAGCTTCGATTTGCTAGGAGCTGTCGCCCTTACTCTGTCCTTGTACGATTCGACTAACTTAGATAATCCTTGTTTACCGGAGGCAGACCCCCCGCCGCCGGGTCCCGACCTCCCTCCTGATATCGTGGTACCTATGGTATTTTTGGTGGTAAAGGCGTGTGTTCACCCTATCCTTCTGGGTAGCGACTTCTTGGCACACTATAGGATGTCAGTGGTCTATCAAGAGCTTGGCCCTCCATTACTACAAGGTGTCTTGAAGGACCGACCTATTCCGTCTGTAACGGATGCTGGTCGTGGGTACTCCGTGTCGGCGACCCGAAGGAAACCTGAACCCTTGAAGGTACCTACCCGTATGATTGAATCATTGTCTAACTTACAAAAAAAGAAAACCCCCAGCAAGAATTTGGTTATGCCGCCAGAACCCCCTCTCCGAGGTCCCAACTGCCCTGAGGTTAACTTCGACGATACCCAGGCTTCTCGCCATAACGGTCGGAAGAAGCGAAACGCCAAGCGTAGACGCCGAAGGGATCTCCAAAGGAAGGTTCACAAGAAGGTTCAGAGAGTTGTCGCCTCCGCCTTGCCGTGGCCTCGGTTGATCGCCATGTTATCCGTCAAAGAGCCCTTGACCAACGACGAACTGGCTGCTGATGGGCTACCGACAAGAATGCCGATTCCCGACTCTTGGCTACCCCCGGTTCCACGGCCTGGCGATATTGGAACGTTATGGCCCCCGAGTGGAGTCACTACAGACGATATGGTCGACGATGATATCTCTGGTGCCCTTAGATTCGCGGTCCCCGACCTCACTGATGAGGTCCCTCGTGTTATACTTCCATCTATTGACCTTTCTGTATATCCCAATAAAAAAAGGTTTGCTAAATTATGTAATGAGTATTCTGATTTATTTTCTTCCCGTCCTGGGAAATGCGATTCCGTTGAGCATGCTATACCATTAAAGTCAGATAAGCCCTTTTCCCAGAAACCACGACCGATTCCCCACAAATGGCGGGATGAAGTCAAGAGTCTTGTGGATAAACTGTTGGAAGAAGGAATGATTCGCCCTAGTACATCTCCGTATCGTTCGCCGTGCGTTTATGTCCCTAAAAAGAATGGCTCAGTGAGAATGTGTATCGACTTTCGTGCGTTGAATGCCCTTACGGAGGTTGATTCGTACACACTGCCTCGTCCTGATGATGTACAAGAGCACTTAGCGGGTTCGAAGGTGTTCAGTACACTTGATTTACAGTCTGGTTATTGGCAGTGCCTTCTTCGTCCTCAGGATATTCATAAGACAGCTTTTTGCCCTGGCCCTGGTTTTCCGCTCTATGAGTGGGTCCGCATGCCCTTCGGACTCTGCTCCGCTGGAGCCACCTTTCAACGTCTGATGGACCAAGTACTTAATGGACTACCCTTTGTTCGGGTCTATCTAGACGACATCCTCGTGTTCTCGCCCGATGCTGAGACTCACGAAGACCATTTGAGACAAGTCTTCGCACGCCTGCGTGCGTGGGGCTTGACGTTGTCCGCCGAGAAGTGCGAGTTCGGTTGCCCTTCTGTGCCCTATTTAGGACACATTTTTGACGGGAACGGTATGAGACCGGATCCGACTAAGGTAGAGGCAATCTTAAGATGGCCTCGCCCCGGTAATGTTGCAGAAGTAAGGTCCTTTTTGGGTCTCGCCGGCTACTACCGTAACTTCGTCCCTAACTTCTCGGACGTGGCACGACCAATTCAACGGCTGGTGTCGGAGGTCGGAAGTGAAACTTTGGCTTTGGATACCTACTGGGGACAAGAGCAAGAGGAGTCCTTCCGGGCCCTCAAACTTCGTCTCGCAGCCCTGCCCTTCCTAGCTTACCCTGATTTCGGTACCCCCTTCGAGCTCTATACTGATGCAAGCGACTATGCCATTGGAGCTGTCCTTATGCAAGAAGGAAGGCCCTTGGGATTTTTCAGTAGGACGTTGACGGGCTCCCAGCTCAATTGGCATACATACGAGAAGGAAGCATACGGTATTCTACAAGCCCTGATTTACTTCCAACACTACCATATCGGCTACCCCTTGACGGTTACGGTATACACAGACCACGAGCCCTTGACCTGGCTAGCTAAAGCCGGCTCAAAGAAGCTGGAGCGATGGCTTTTGGCCATGCAGGCGTATTCGTTCATAGTGAAATATGTACCAGGTAAGAAAAATGTGTGTGCTGATGCTCTTTCCAGGATACGCCAGCTCGACGACGATACCCTACCGATGGAGCCGATGGAGTCAGAAACCCCCGCGACAAAGCCAACCAAGGACGTTGACACTACCCGTACCCTTGTATCGGTTGTAGCCGCTCGTCGACAATTAGCTGCTTGTATAACGGCATTGTCGGCACGGTGGTCGATCGACGATATAAGGCGAGAGCAGGATAGTGACGACATGACAAGGAAGGTAAAGGAACGTCTGTCGGATCCGTTGCCCTTACGTAGGACCGAATTGACCGACCTCGCCTTCCGCCCTTATAAGCAGCTGTGGAATCAACTGGATGTGCTAGATGGCCTACTTATACGCCGTCGCAAGTTCGATAACGAACGAGAACCCCGGTTCCTACCAGTGATACCACCTGCCCTGAGATCTGATGTTGTGGATGCCTACCACAAGGAAGACGGTCACTTCGCCGTACGCAAGACTCTCGACAAGCTCAAGTTGCATGCCTATTGGCCCGGGATGGGCACCGATCTCCTCAACCACGAGAAGACATGCCCTAGATGTACTCAGGTCAAGGCAACGGTACCTCGAGCCCCCTTAGGAGTTATGCCTATCGGCAAACCCTGGGACTTAATTGCTATCGACCACTTGAAGGTGCCCCCCAATGATGATAATATTCGTTCACTATTGGTTGTCCAAGATTATTTCACACGGTGGGCTACGGCCATACCGGTGAAGTCCGAGGATACCACCGAAGTGGTAAGAGCCCTTTCAGATCTTTTTAGCATCTTTGGGCCCCCTGGTCGTGTGCATAGTGACCAAGGCCCTGCGTTTGAGTCGAATGCCCTTAAGATTGTCCTTGAGCGTTTAGGAGTTGAGAAAAGCCATACCACACCGTATCACCCTTCGGGTGACGGCTTGGTTGAGCGCTTTAACCGATCATTGATTGGCCTCCTCCGGACTCATGTGACCGACTCTCACCAATGGCCTATGTACCTTCCTTCTTTATTGTGGCACTACAACAGTTCTGTTCACTCAGCGACTAGGTTCGCCCCGTTCACATTAATGTTCGGTCGTGAACCGAAGTCTGTCTTTTTGCCATCGTTGCAGGCCCTTGATCAGTTCTCCTTCGACCCATTTGGGTATAACGAGTACGTCAAGGCCCTCTCAATCCACCTCGAGGATCTTGTTGACCTCGCCCACGCCTCCGCCTCTGCTGCAGCCCAAGCTTACTACGACAAGAAGGCCACTGCTCGTCAATTCTATGTTGGACAACGTGTACTAGTACGACGTCTTGGCCCTCAAACCGGAAATAAGCTTGAACCTAAGTGGAGCCCCGGTTGGTTTGTGGTTGGTCAGATGCCTGGCCAAGAGAATAAGGTTCTCAAGCTCAAGCACCAAGAGACGCTTCAAGTTCGTGTTCTGTCAGCTGATTATGTCGCTATCGACCCCCTTCAGCCCGACGCCGTTCCTGACGCCCTTGGTATTATGCGACAAGATCCACTACTTCGTGCTGGATCACCCTTGCCCGACCCCGATCTCAACAACGCCCCCGGTCCTGAACCCCCTGTACGACCCGATGTCATTACAGACAATGTGAGTCCAGGAGATGGTTACCCTGTGGACCCCCTGGCCGGCCCTGAGATACCCCCCGACCCTGATGCTTTATTATGGATTGAAGTCGACTTCCCACAACCACAACCACGAAACTCAAGATAAGAACCCCTGTCGAAATTTTCGACAGTTTTCGACATGCTCGACTCGAAAACGATAAGTACGGCGACCCCGGATGATGTCTCTACTGGACGCAGTGGTGAACCTCATCTACCAGAAGAGGGAAGTGCAGGCGATCTCGACGGACGCGTTGAGACCTCGCCAGCCCAGACCCCTTCTAGTTCTTCATGCCTACAACCCGACGACAACACCGACAACAGCGAGTTTCAATCGGTGCCTTCTACAGATTCCTCGTCAGCTGTCCCATCGCCCCCTACGTCACCACCCTGTGAAGAAACGGCTGAGGCTCCTGCAACGGCAGATGTTATGGAGACGGCCGCCCCTTCTGAAGCGGCTGGTCGACCTATAGGACGTGGACACCGTACGAGAAACCCAAGAGTGAGGTTTGATCCTCAGACATATGTACCATTAGGAAGACGTCATTAGATTTTTGCCTTTTTGTGCGCCGCGCTATACATTTGCACACGTGTATTGTCTACCTTTTACGTCACGTTAGGGCCGTAACATTGTCCCTTTTGGCCCTTGTCTCTGAAATCGATATTGTCTCGGACGTTTTGACTTATTGCTCTGTTACAGCGAGAAGAGGCCCTGCGGGTCGATCCCGAGGTGCCAATGATATCCCCACCACGGCTCCCGTCCCCCTCGTCCGTCGTATCCTCCGCCTATCATTACT